CAAATTACTTGTCTTAATATGCATAATTTTACCCAAGAACAAAAAAATGCCTAGTTTTAAGATTCTTAATTTTGTGCCTTATGATACAACTAGTCGATTATTTGAGTAGAGTGAAACCTGCCGTGCCAATCCAAAGAGAGATTCTGATAAAACTGGTCCCTCATTTTCTCCTCTTTAGATCTAGATTAGGTCTAAGCTCTGCAGAAAGGCCTCACCATGCCTCCTGAAATCTCATCTGATAGCGATGGTCTTTCTTTCTTTTCCAATACTGAACTTCATGGCCTCCACAACTTTGTGGAGACATTGCCCTTTCTTCCTGCCACCCAGTACACATGATGAGATTCCTCAGCGCACACAGTCACACAGGCTTTTAGACACTCATTAGCCCCTACTAATACAATAAGTGTCGCCTTCCATTTCATGGTGCTGTGTTTGATATCAAGATTGGAAACTGACCAAGTCTGCTCAAGATGGGCATCATACCCCACCCCCCATGCACTGTATTGTCTTTCAGGCACAATGTTGAATTGTATTCTCCTTGAGTGCATTTTTTACAATTTCAGCGTATTCTCTTCATACATGTAAATTCACAAACGGATTTCTCACAAAAAACAGATCACTTCTGGTGTATACATTCTTAGAAAAGGCAGAAGTAACGTGCATTTTGTTCATTTTGACCATAATTTTAGGGAGGGTTGTTTAAATCTCTACCCTAACCCCCAACCTGCTGTCTTGCAACTGATGATCACATGCGGCATTGTTAGCAATTCCTAATTAAGACCCTTAATTCTCTATGCCATCGCCTGACTGTGGCTGTGAGCTCACGTGAAGGCCTGCTGGAAACAGCATGGGGGAAGACACTTATACCAAATATGCAGTGTTGTTTTTTTCTCCTGTTGTTTAATAAAGAAAATAATAATAATCATAGTAAGCTGATATTTAGAGATGTATCAATCAGAAACATTTGTGAGAATTTCTGATGTCCACTCTTGTAAAGTTCTAACATGCCAATACAATTTGAATGGATTTCTATGTAGAATGATTTTGTAGTTTCTGTATAAACAGAAAACCTGACTGTCCATAACAGGGATTTTCAAAGTATTAGAAAGATATCATCCAGCAAAAGAAAAAACTCCCAGGGCTTGGCAGACGACACTGTGGCAGTAGAGCATCTTCTGATTCACAATATGGAAAACCCAACTTCAAATAATCACGGTTATGCTTCCTCCTTTTTTATTTTCCTTGTCAATTTTTTTATTCTCATGTCACCAATAAGACTCCCTAGGAGCCGATGTCTCATTATTACACATCTCTGCAGTGACCTGACCAATTAGAGCTGAAGTAAGATGGGTTCACTGATGAGAATAAAAGATAACAATCCATCAATTGTAAAATTGGTCATATACTGTCACACAAAAAATCTACTAATATTATACTATGGTTGTAAAAAATTAATATGCTCTCTTGCTTACTGTATAAACTGCCTTAAAAATGTAGTAATATTCTACATTAATAACTAATACTAATTGCAAGTAATACTTTAGTTGTTACATGTTAAAACAGCTAAAGCCTTGGGAACCAATGTACAGATGATTACAATAGTATGTTCTCTGGCAAAGAGCTTACAGTCTCCTGTGAGCAGCATATGCTCTGAAGACCTGCAACAGATGAGTTCAAAATAAGCGTGACATTTGTTAAACAGGCGAAACCCCACAACACCGACATTTGACAACACGATGGGGGTAGGAAACCATTAAGGCCTTCACTTAAACAAGCAGCAATTATTCAGGTCTGGTTCAAGCAAAAGCCACTCTGCTGATCAAATGGAGGAGATTTGTACCATCAGCTGGGAAGTTTTGACAGATTTTGATCAGACACACATAGTTGAGAAAGTAAAACTCAGCTTTTGAAGAGGTTAAAGGTATACGATAACTATTAAAACTGTTTCAGTATCAGCTCTGTCTCCAAGCCTATGTCTAAGTCCATGAATTCCTTCGTCATGCACTCGTACTCCTCTTTACGTGCAAACAAACCTTCGACCTCACTCCTTCCTGTCCAACAAAGGTAGCAATAATGGCGAGTGAGGCATGGCGAAGAACATGCCAAGGATTCCCCTCCACTCCATCCGCCTCCCTGTGCCTCTACCCACTATCCAGAACCATTTGGACCACAGGGAATGGGTTAATCACATTAGAGGCCCAGAAGAGAGATGGGAAGTAGACAGTACCGTGACAGCCGGGGTAGCACTGGCACGACTAATCCCGTTAGGCTGAGGAAAAAAGGGAGACGCCATCTCGCCTACGAGGCTAAGAAAGAAAAATACATTTTCCCAGGAATGAGTTCACCTGTATGGTAACACAGCGAAGTTGGCCTGTTGATGCCTATTAGAAGAAACAATCACACTTGGCACACACGAGTGTTTTTTTTCATGCTGGGCATCACGTCATTGTCAGCGGCTGAAAAAGAATCAGCAGCAGACAGTGGCATTGCATGAGATCCTCTTTCATGCCACGGTGAAGCAGCTCCTTTCAACCCGGCGCTATCAGTCTCGCAAACAGTGAGAAGATGGGGAGGGGTGCTGTAAGGAGGACAGAGCCCATTTCATCTGCCATTGTAAGTGCACCCGAGTTCAACCTTAATGTAAACCTTTGCAGGCAGGATATGAATGGGATGCTCTCCATAAAAACACATCCTGCTGGGTAATCCGGCAGATGGCTTCAGCTGCGGACACTACAAGAGAGGCCGGCCACTGTGGGAGTGGCAGGGAAAGGCCGATCGGTAGCCGCTCTTCAGGAGACGTGATATCGGGATTCTTAACTCCCCTTAGCAACGCTGGGAAGAAGAGCCGTCAGTTTAGATCCATCAAGTTCTCACTTAATCTGGCTCACCGCTTTTTTTCCTCTGCGATTCCCCCTTTTTTTTGTATCTTCCCCTTTTGTTGCAGGGATTAAGCCAAGTGGTAAAACAGAGATTTAATGATCTTTCCATGGCTATGTGCACCACTTAAACCATGAGACAAACAAGTTGAGGCATTCTAAGAGTCACCCCCTATAAAGACTGCTGCTCAGAAACTGTGAGGCTTTTGATTCATCCTTAAGCTGCTGCTGATTTTTTTTTTTCCCCCTCTTGTGCCGAGCTCTGCTATGGGAAAATTTAAAGTTTTGTAAAAAGCCATTGTAAACAGACTGAGACAAGAACAGTTGGGGAAACTTCTTCATAGCTTTGTAATGATAATGCTTGGTAAATTTCAGTGGTTTGTAAAAGCAGAAAATTCTTTATCCACATGAAATGATCACAAAATAATAAATATTGACCATATTTTCGGTTTGCAATTGTCCATCCATCTTTCATCTCGCACATTTGTCCTTGGAGGGTCACCAGGGAGACAAGTGCCTGCTTCCAGTGATCATCAGATGAGAGGCAAGATACACAACAGACATGTCACCAGCCCACCACAAGGTTTCCAGTTGTATCGCGCTCTTTCTATTTTTTTAATTGAATTGAATAATGCTTATATACTGGTGAAAATCATGCATTCAATTTTCTGATGTCTATCATCTAAAATCCTAATAAAGCAAACAGGGGTCTGAGTTATTCGCTAAAAAAATTTTTTTTAGCGAACATTGATATACATTAAAACATTTTTGGCAAGCGTAAACATGAAAAGAAGACCACAGTGTTAACTGATAATCCTGCCACAGCTTTGTGTGTAATTCTCAGTCTTTACTGGTAATAACTGGGAAAGGTATTGGCTGTGGTCATTATAAAATAGCACTAGAAAGCCATAATGGGAGGACAAATATCAGAAGAGGGACATTCAGTGTGTAATGGAGGGTAGAGGTGTATGTGTTAATGCCTATGTGCAGTAAGTGGGTAAACTGGTTGTTGGCTACATTATGTGACACCAGCAGGGTCAATGATGGTGAAAATGAGGACTGTAAGCACTGTAGCACAGGGGTTAATAGTCCTGAGCTGGCTTTGATGATGTTTTCTGTAGTATGGAAGACTCATACAGGTAAAATGTTGTTTCCAGGTTTGATGCCAGTAAAACTCTCAGAAATAGACAATGGCTTTTAAAGTACAGCACAGAAACAGAACTGGGCTGATCATGAAACTTTGTTCAGAAATGTTCTCCCCAACCAGTAATTTTTCTTTTCGCTTTTGATATTTTTGTAACATACTCAGCATGTGTACCCAGGTCATGCACAGACTTGAAATGTTAACTTTTATGCCTTGCCAGGTATCGAACTGCATGATAGGGATGTGTTTGAGTGCATTCATTTTACAGGAACTCGACATCTTTTGAGAAACAGTGCATATGCTAGTCACTGAAACACAAATCAAGCTTTCTTACAACATATTAAGCTTCTAAAAGTGATGTTTTAAATTATTTCAGGGCTCCCCCTGTAAGTTCCCCAAAGGAATAAAAAAGAAAATACTGCTCACTGTAAATTATGACTGCAAAATACGATTAAAGTTCAATGTCCAGACCTACATTCACATAGAAACGTCTTCTCCTTGGGAACATTTTGTTAAAAAGAAAATCATTTAGTCTCCAGTAACCGTATTATCTTCTAGACAAATTAGTTGTGTGGTCTAATGTTACAGTTAAGTGCTTATAAAACTGGTATCTCATGGGTTCAATTGAGTGAAACCTGAAACAAAATAACTCACAATTAACAGAGAACATTAAGGTGAAATAATAAAAAACAGCCATGAAATTATTGCAGTGATAGTAAATCAAATTTAATGAGAAGTTTGCAGGTTTGTAATGATTTGCATATTGAAAGAAGCTCCTTGGATATAACTGATAATCAAGGTTTCTAGATATTATCATTCAAAATTGCATTACATTCTCGATGATCAAGTTCATCCCGAATCTATGACAGATAGCTATATCAGATTTTCAGGTCAGAACACAAACAAATTGAGATAAACAAATTCCTTCCCTTTTGTTTTGAGAGGGTTCAGTTGCAGTTCAAGAAAGAGAACATCACATGCAAGTTTTTAATCTTTAATCACAGTCGGTATAGAGCTCAGCTAGTGGGTCTACTTCCTCCAGAGGAGCAGGAGCGTCGGTAACTTGCGCCTTCTTTTGGACCTGAATCCATCTTTGCATGATCTTTCTTCCATACTTAAAAAAACAAACAAACAAAAAACGCTTAGTTTTTACAGTTAAAATAATTGAAATAAAACCATATATATACTGGGTCAAATTAGGAGGCTTGAGAAATTTTTGTACAAAAAACAAACATTCTAATGACAGAAAATCAGCAGTGGATAACGCTCAAAGTGTATATTTACGCTGAATGGGTTGCACATAACACACTTATTCAATTCTGGCACTGTGTATTATACTGATATAAACCGATAAGACAGTATCAGTGGTTGTTTTTTTCATTTTAGAGTGACTCACAACTTTCTTGCTCTCTCCCGAAGCTCGTTTCATGCACTTGGACATCTTTATTTGCTGCTTCTCCCTCTCCTCCCGGAGCTTTTCCTCATGCGCCCTGGAATATGAAGAGGTGCCACAAGACAAACAGTTAAACTCTATAAGGATACGAGTGTTTGGAAAATGGACACTCTTTTTGTTTTTCTATCAAAAACAGTCAAGCTTGTTGTAGTAACACTGCGAGAGAAATAAATGTTTTTGGAAGACATTGCATGTGAATCTGACTCTACAATGCTTTCCAATGGTGAGGGAAACAAACCTTGTTCTCCTCTCTCCATCCTTGATTTCCCAGAGTGTCTCAAACATATCTCTAGGGATTTTCTCAATTTGCTGGAGCAAGAGGTTCATACGGTGCTCAACACAGCAAAGCTTTTCCAAAGTTGCTTGATTGGCAATGCGGCTCTCGAAGCAGCAAAGGTAAACTTCTGTTACCTTCTTACCCAGAGCGTCTAACATTATATCCTGTGATAAACAAGACAAGAGTTGTACTTGACATTCACAGGCTTTTTTTTTTTTTTTTGCAGTGCTCTAAACTCCCCATGCTAATTTTTTTACCTCGTCTTTTGTTTCTAATGAGTTGTGGAGCTGAACCTGCTTTCTGAGCACGACAGCTCTCTTCTTTTCCATTTCAATTCTGCTCTCCAAGTTGCTTTCTTGTAGTGATAGTTTCTTCTCATCCTCTTCCCTTCACAAATAGAAGGTATATTTTGGAGTTATGTGTCTTTCATATCTATCATCTACTTGGTATTTGGTTTAATCTAACATGTCAGCCACTGAAAAATGTATGTGTCGAACTTCTTCTTTGAAGTGTCTTGCTATAAGACTGGTATGTCTAAAATGACTTTCTAAATAAAACGTTCACATTCTCACATTTTAAGTTTGGTGGTTTCCAAGGTCTGCTCCAGTATTTTATCCATTTCAGTGGCGTTCTCTATCAGAGAAAGGATCTGGTCAGTTAACTCCGATGGTAAAACCACAACCTCAAAAGGATCAGAGAAGTAGATCTCGACTATCCTCTGCAAAGAGAAGGGAAGGAAAACCAAATTGCATCATTGACCATTGAAAAATTGCTTCTGTTTTCAGCTCTGATTTAGGTTATGAACAACCTCGTCACCGTCGCTGACATCAGCTGAATCTGTTGTTCTGAAAATGGAAAAGAAATCAAACTGATGAAAAAAAACTACAAATCAGACAGTAAAAATTATAGTAAATAAGTAGAGTTTAGAAATGTGCCACATCCTTTGAAAGATAGTGAGGCAGAAATGTAATTATCATGCTGTGAATACATGATAGTTTTACTCAATCCTCCTCCTAATTCCAATTTTGATGTTAAAATTTAAGAAAAACAATACAATATATGCTAAAATTAGCAAAATGTCTAATATTTAGACATTTAGACTGTTTAAGAAATATGGTATGCAGATCCCCTCTGTTATATAGCAATGGCCCCTCCCTTTTTTATTTTTCATTTTTATTTCAGCCTTACAACTAGTATTATTAAGGACTTCATTTTAAGAAGTCCTTAAGGACTTCATTTTAAGAAGTCCTTAATAATACTGTACAAATAATTTGTACATATTACTGATTGACACTAATTACTACTACTAACAATAATAATGGATTTATTTGTTTAAATAAACTGCCTTTTTGTACTAAAACAAATATTGAAATATAATTTGAAGACTAGTACTCAATCTTATACTGAATTCATTCTAATAATAAATATGTATGATTTTGCAATGCATTTTCTGCTTTAAATGTTGCTTTTAAGTAACATTTTACTTTTAAGTATGCCAATATTCTGTTCTAAAAGAACAGCATGTACCAGACAATTCCAGTAAGGCTTTAATTTACTAATGATTCAATAATTCATTTCTTTGTTTTTGATTCACAACGATAACAAATGTGACTGTGTATGCTAGTTTATAGGGTTTGAGGAAGAGATCCACGACAATTTAAACAAGTTGATTAACTGTGTTAACTTACTGTGAGTCTTTCCGTGACATGGGAAACTTGGACTTCGAAGGGGGGGGTTTATTTGAACTGGATGTTGGAGCTGCTCCCACACCTAAATCAACATCAAATATACGTTTATTTGTATGGCAAAGAAAATATGACATTGTTTGTACTTTATTCTTTACTTTAAGCCTCGGAGAACATTTGATGTCTGAAGAGATTTTCATTGAGGGAACCTCATAGACTTCAAATCAATATATGCACAAATAATTTTTCCCAATGTACTTGCAGAGTTAAACCTTAAAGAGAATTAACTTTTTGCTTCTATTTTTTGAGTCTATTTAGCAGTGTGTTATGCTAAATAGACTAACACACTGCTAATACTTGAAATTTAATCTAAAAAGATTAAGCTACACAAGAACATTCCACACATTTGTTCTTGAAGTGAAAAAAATATTTCTTATGTCAATTGTTTTTATTCTTATTTTATACCCACTAGATGGCGCCAATCCCTCTTTTTTTTTTTTACTGTTTTTCGGTGTGTGTAATGGACCTTCAAAATTTAATTATTTTATAATGATATTTTGTATTAAAAGATTACCTCATTTGAACTTGAAATGTTAAAATTTATTGTAAATATGTTGTATAGACATATACAACATATTTACAATAAATTTGGGAAGGCGAATGTTTTCATCACCAATAAGGAAGGTAATTAGTACAAGTGAAAAAAAGTTTACTTTTTCTGACTGCAGTTTCTTTGGGCTCAGAGCTTTGTCCCGTCCGAGCTTCTTTAGCTTTCAATATTTCAGCTTCCTTGGCTTCCTGCCACTCTTGAGGTGCAAGATTGAACAATACGTTTGCGTAACACTTATGTCTGTTGAGGATATTCTCAACCTTATCATATTCACTTCAAAGAGGAAAGACCAGATTCAGAATCGCACACGAGAGATTGCATCTGTTGAAGCAGGACTTGTGTGTGTTTTGATCGTTACTCATTTCTACCTCTTCGCAGCCATCACATCCTCCAAACACTTCACTAGTGCAAAACTGCTCTCCTCTTTGGACTTGATGGCATTTTCAAATCTGTTGTTGAACATTAATAATGGTCACAATTTCTGCAAATCTTGAAGAAATATTGTTTAGCCAACAGTATCAACCACAAATTTGTTATTACTTACAGGTTTTTTGCATCAATGGGTTTTCTTTCAATTCGTGTGATGAACTTCCTCATGTGGTTAAGTTCTCTCTCACAGAAATGTTGATTGCATTTCACTTCTGTTTCCAGTGGCCTGATGCTTTTCTCAAGGTCATTTGTCTTTTTCTTTAGGTTTGCCAATTCCATCTGAGGACATATGAATGTCAGCATTTAATATGTTTAATGACAAACAGGAAAAGGCACAGAAATACAGAAATGGCTTAGATTGAACAACAAACTCTTGATTTACTTAATCATTGCTGAGACCAGTTAGGAGTTGTTTTCCAATGAAGCTATTTTTTGTTAGTTTTCCTTTTTTTTTTTTGCTGCCTTTAATGCGAATGTGATCATCTATTTTATAAAACTTTGAAATACATAATTTACAACATTAAGTGTGAGAGAGACAATCAAAACAGCTAAGACCAAAATTATTATTATTCATAGAGATGTTCTTGTAATTCTTTATTTTCTTCCTGGACTCAACAATCTCTATCAACACAAAACATCATTTTTCTCTTTGTGTGTTACAGACTTTGTGAAATCATGGTTTTACATTGGAGGGAACTAAAATGCATCCAGAAAACACAAAAGCAAAAGGTCAACAGAAAATTATTTCACCAAGTTACCGCACAGTGTGTAGATTTTCACAGACAGTTTCAGCATTTTTGTGTATTCGGGTAAAACAATGAAGAGGTTTAATTTGTCATTTCATTATCTTTACTGATTAGTCAAACCAGCTGAAACAATGTGTGTATTTTGATTAACTTGAACCAATATATTGGTATAAATCTTTCAGGTTATGGATTACATTGATTTTGACTCCATAACATAAAAGCTAAGACTTTTTATTTTTATTTAAATCCCTATTAACAGTTGTAGAGAGTTCAGGTTGGATTTATTGTTTATTCCACACACGTTTTCCACTATCTTGCCTTATCTTTTCGATTCATTTGAGGTTATTTTATGATTTAATAGAAGTTTTTTCGGTTACCCTTAGCTGTGCTTTCCTTTCTTTGTAATCTGTGAACTCATTTCGACCTGTCAGAGAATCTTTCAGGAACAAAAGAGAGGCACATTAGCGTAATTTCTTTGGCACACAGTTCACTTAGCTCTCATTTACTCTCTCTGCACTTACTTGGTAGCATAGTCCAAAACTCTACCGGTGGTATTTCTATGGCTGAGTATTTCCTCTCCTTTCCCATATACGTATCCATTGTTGGTTCTGTCAGTGCTGTGGTAGGAATCTTGTTTAGTATAAAACAATAACTAATACGTCTTCAAACAACCCTCTAAAAAGTCTATACATGTCAAAAAGGCTTACAGGAAAGTGCATCACTTTATGCAAACCATCTGACATAACTAAAAACACTCCTTGTTTCACCAGTTAAGCCGTAGTCCATCTTAGAGCAGCTATTGCTGGACACAAAATTGTCACAAACTGCTAAATCAATTTAATTGAGTCTCACCTCTCAATGAGGTTAACCAGAAGAAGAAGAAGAAAAAAAGAAAACATTATTTTGACATCAAAAATAATTAAAAACTATTTCCTACCTCCTTATATCTTCTACTGTAAATCACCTGAAAACCATTGGACTGCAAAATTAACAGTTGGAGGGTTTTTTTTCATGTGTTACCATGGCAACTGCAGTTTAACTTGAAACGTGTCTGTGCGAGATGCGTTTGTCAATAAAGTTTAGAAACTGCACGACAGGAAATGAAAAGGTCTAATTGAAAACAGACAGAAAGGTGGAAAGCAAAGGACTATTTCAGTTTCGCTGTTATTTATTATCTTTAAATAATTAATTTATCTAATGTTTAACAGATATTATCAACATTATAACCCTTACATGTCTTAATTAAGATACTAAATTAAGACATGTAGTAGGCTATCTTAATTTGTTTAATTAAGATACTACATGCATGTTTATTTTATTTTATTTTTATTTTTTTAAGGTGAAAATGTACAGTTAAAATATTTGTCCTTGTCATCTTAAAATATTTAAAATATTTGTCCTTGACATCTTAACTAAAATATAGGTTTTAAGGACATAGCATGAGCCAGATGTCAGGGAAGACAGACTCCTACATCAGACTAAAAGTGTCTGGTTTCTTTATTTATCCAGGTCATTCCCACTGAGACAATAATACACCAGATTAGAGCGACAACCTGCTGCTTATGCAAAGAGAGCAGAAAGATTTGAAGGTCCCACAATATGAAGTAGCTACTGAAGTCCAAAACTTTAATGTTTTGTATGTTATATGTTAAATCAGATAATTGGTTATAGCAAAGTTCTATTGCATGCACCAGTAACAGGAATAGCAGTAGCACAAGCAGATCCAAACTTAATTTCATGTGTTGTGTAAAAATATTGAGTTGCTCCATGCCCTTAAATTCATAGATTGCAATACTATCCTGTATAAAAACTACTAATACATCCTGAAATGAAGCTGGATGTAACATGGCCAGCCGTGATGCCTGTGATTGGACGCTGGGAGTAAATCTACTGGGTAATCCTCTCCTGGCTCATGCTGTTATTTGGACGTAGGGATTTATTGTTGGTGAATTGTGCTGCAGAGGACTACTATTGCTGTACACATACTGGACAGTTCCTTTGACTTGGCTGAAACAGGTCTTCCTCTGAGAGTTGTTTTCTCACTTGATGATAGAAAACAGGATAAATGGCCCTTGACAATTTGGCCCATCGAGAATACTTTTCCAGGATAGAGGCACAGGTCAGCAGTTCACCGGTAGGAAGTCTTGTTGTTTAAGAGCACCTTTGACTAAAAGTGTTCAAATAGTTAACTTGTGTGGCTTTAAAAGTCGGGGAGATGTAATAATTACTAAGATGTTTACTCAGGACAACTTAAGAAATGTGAAAGTTTTGGGAGCTTTATAAGTAACATACAATATGTGTGTAACGTTCATCAAGTAAAAAGTAATATTTGTGAGGAAGCAATAACCAAATTGTAGTTTTTAGGCTCATGCAGAATAAAAAACCGAAAAAGTCAAAATCATCAACCTTGTTTTGAGCCCAGTCAAGGTTAATGGGTCAAAATGACTCAATGGATGTTGATTAAAAATTTTAAATCACTAGCAAAAAAAATATAGGTAATGTGCAATAAACTTGGATGCACTCATGTATTAAACATGTGAATTACATAGTTTCAGTTTACTTACGTTAGCTTACTTATTTTTGTTTAAAATTAATCATTTCATTAGCTGCATTTACAAGCTGCTTGTAGAATAAGTGATTATTCTTTATGTTTTACTGAAGAAAAGCAAATTGTGCCAAATCAAAGTTGTTGTTGTTTTGTTTTTTTTTTTACAAAGAACATAAATGTTATCAATACAAAACCTGCTCTGCTGGTGTTTGTCTGGAGAGCTGATTTTTGCCTCCTTTCCACCCCCGCCAGGCAGTCGTCGAGATGTGAGAAGGGGTCATGCCTCTGATCAAGAGAAACATTGAGCCTCGTCACCTGTGCCGAGGTGCAGTGCCTGATGGGATTGGCAACGAGCTGGAATGTGTGACAAATAACTCACTATCTGCCATCATCCGTCAGCTCAGCAGTCTGAGTAAGATCCCAGATGTTAAAATATGTTTAGATGCCATCTTAGCCTTGAATTAGTGGATTTCCAGGATTGTTTATGTCTCATAAACACAACCTGGAACTTCTAATCAATGAATGACTTATATACAAGTTATACAAGTTCCAAACAAAACAGGAAAAATACATACATTATAGTTTTTAGCCCACACATTTCACAAGTAATGTACCATCCCCCTGTATTTATATACATTCCTTTGTGCATCAGTGAAAACTAAAAATACAGAATATCATAGACTGTGGTCCAAAATGATATTTGTTGGAGGGCAAGACGGTTTTCACCATACTGCCCTGATGACTCAGATTGGCTGTAACTCAGAATATATAGCAGAAAGTGAGTGGAGTACACAAAAATTATTCTCAAGTAAGGCTAGCACTACCTAACTAGTGGCTACTTTTTAACGAAAATAAGAGTAAAAAAGTATTTGGCAAAACGTCTACTAAAATACAGACTAACTGATCAAATTATCACTCATTTAACATTTCAAAATTACATAGTCAGACAGACCAAAATACAAAATGAAGTGGGCATTTTAATATTCTAAGCATAATAATGACAATAATTTATATACCATAAGAAAAAAATAACAAAACAGACGAAAATATTGTTTTCTAAATCAGTTTCTTTCAACAAAAAAACTTATAAAACTTTAACAAAAATTGCAGGTGTTTGTTTTCATTCAGTGGGTAGAGAATCCAGAAATTTTTCTCAAGTAAGAGTAATGATAGTTCATCATAAAATTCGTCAAGTAAAAGTAAAAAGTACGGAGTAGTAAAAATATTCTTGAAAGTGCATTTTTTCAAAAGAGCAACTGAAGTAGATGTGATTGAGTAAATGTAACTAGTTATCACCCAAACATGGAAGCAGAGACAGTTTTCTGCTCTGAGGGTTTCCTCTTTGCAATATGATGGATTAAGAAATAAAAAATTTAGACAGAGCAAATTGGACATCTGGTCCATGGCCTGCCTGGTCACAGTGTGCACATGTGTGTGTGTGGATTAAGTGAAGTAACTCAGGCTTAGAGCTTACCGTAAAGCTCTGTCCAGCAGTCAAATAAGATGGAGAGTAGGTGGGTGGAGAGCTAAACACATACAGTCTGAGGATAGCTTTCACACTAAGTGGATCGGAGCTGTGGTGGTGGAAGCATGCAAGCAGCCCACAGAGCACGACACAGTTTGCATAAGAAGTAACTCAATACCTTTGCCTTCAATTCAATTCAAATTCAAAAATACTGTATTGATCCCAAAGATAAATTAAACTTCATTCTAAATCAAATTAAATCAAGGTTCTTCAAAGAGTTGTTGTAGATGGTGATGGCTGTGGGCAGGAAGGATTTCTTGTTGCAGTGTAGTCTGTATTACAATAAATTTGAAGACGCTTGAACTGAAGAGTCTGTTTTCCATGACAGTGTCATGAAGAGGATGCCCAAAAGTTTCTGCCAAAGATGATCATTGCAATGTATTGACTCTGTAAAGTTGTATTTTTTCATCATTTGTTAAAGTGAGATTATTTTTTGTGCCTTTCCTTGTGTTTCTGTTGCAGGTAAGCATGCAGAAAACGTGTTTGGGGAGCTTTTTAACGAGGCCAACACATTTTACAGTCGTGCAAACTCTCTCCAGGACCGTATTGACCGCTTAGCAGTCAAAGTCACCCAACTGGACTCCAGCGTGGAGGAAGGTCAGTTAACTGAAAACCTACACTTTTTCCTATTATCATTGATTCTTAACAGACTTCTAACTCTCCTCTTGCTGCTCGCAGTGTCTCTTCAGGACATAAACATGAGGAAGGCCTTTCGAGGCTCTGCGGTCCAGGACCAGGAGGTTTTGTCTAAAGGCAGCACTCCCAGCTCTGTTGCTGAAATGTATGAGGGCTGTGACAGGCCTCCCCCTCTTGGTGCCCTCACAGCTTACAGGTTCTGCATCTGTTCCACATCAACCATCACTTCACTTCATATTTTCAGCCTTTGCAAACTGTTTTATTTGATACAATACAGGGATGACTCCACCGATGCAATGAAATTCTACTCGGACCCATCGTACTTTTTTGATCTTTGGAAAGAGAAGATGCTTCAGGACACTGAGGACAAGAGGAAAGAAAGGCGGAGACAAAGGGTAACAACACAGCCTTGTTGAGAGCTCTGTTTATATGGTTTACGTTTTGAGTAAATATTCACTCCTTTGTCTTTAATTTACTCTTTCAAAGGAACAGAAGAGAAGCATGGAGAGCAGCACACTCCAGCGGGAGGTGAAGAAGGTGAGGAAGGCTCGAAACCGCAGACAAGAGTGGAACATAATGGCTTTCGATAAAGAGCTTCGTCCAGATCACCGCCATCCAAAAACTCTTCGACGAGGAGCGTCGTCAGAAGGCTCGCTCTCTCCTGATGGCAGGCAAGGGTTTCCTTTTCCTTCCTTTTTTAAAACAAGCTTGTGATTAAGAAAATAAAAAAGATTTTTGTATCTTTTTATGTTATTTTGATGTTGGTTGTGTTCAGTTTTCTGTGTTGTGTAATTGCACCTTTTTAAAGATTAAGATGCAGATTAGTTGACGTTATAATTTAAATGGTACACTTAACTTTTGAAACTGTTCTGTTTCTTTCTGAATCCTTTCAGTTTGATGAAATGCATTTGAAAGAATTTAGAAGATGAGATGCTGAAAGTGGAAAAAATCTAATGTTATTCTATTTGGTTAATTTCAATTCATGGTTGCATTTCATTTTATTTTACATTCTGCCAAATGTTTCTTGTTGCAGAGGCTTTTTGTAAATGACAAATGATGTTTTTCATCCCAAAAATTTATTTATTTTTTTTCTTTTGTTAGGAAACATTTATATCCCCAGATTATGCACTGTTACCTAAAATGCAGGCACAAAAGCCAGTTTTGATTCCTCTCAGTCAATCCTTTCCTTTATTTTGCACAAATTAAATGTTTTCGAAAGGCTTCTGGACCCATGCAATAAATCCCTCATCAGAATCAGATCTGTATTTAATACAGCACCTCATTTAGGATGGGATTTCAATCTTGTTTCTTTTGCGTAGGGCTTTCATCAGATTTATTCAGTGATTTATTGGGATTATATCATTCAAGGGAGAGAATTACATATACATATTTGATAAAATATCACCTTGAAAGATATAATAGCTGGAAACTGTTACACCATTGTCACACTAGTTCATTTTGTTAATTTTAAAAGTTTTCAATTGGCCTGCCATAATAACAAATTTTGCTGGACATTAAATTATTCCAGATGTTTTGCGAACAATAATAATATTGTTTTGATGCCATTTTCAGGTAATATAATGATAATGGCATGATAATCCAAGTACACCCTCTCAAAGATCAATAAACTGTCATTTCTAATGAACATTTAACACTGGAACTGGAAGACATTTCAAATGTCCAGAATAAATAAAACACCTGAAGCAACAAATGAAGTGGATACTAAAGTCTCTGTAAACCAAATTTCTGTTCAAAAAAGGGAATGCACCAGACTGAAAGGAGTGACAGACATGAGAATATCAGTCATGCAAGTGGGAAATTATTGAGCAGTATTCAATTTATTGTTATAATTTGAATATGTTTTTTGTGACAGGGTTAGTTTTCACTACTCTAGATGTTCATTATCACTTAAATCCATTAAAAAAAAAAAAAAAAACAATTTGTAGAATTTAAGATAAATGTTCACTTTTATTTCAGAAAGTGAAAAATTCCAGAAATGCAGAGGGAAACTGGATACTTTTCAATGCACATCCTCTACAGCATGTTTGCTTTTTCATCCCTTCTGTTTTGAGCTTGTGATATGGTTTTTTGGGGGGAGAAAAAGATGCACCATCTGGATATGCGAAGGCATCTGCATCATAATCTGCCTCACTGTCATTGTTTATCCAGGCCTGACCTTCTGGACTACCCAATCCCTCCAGTACCTGCTCATACTGTTTGCAGCTATGCCAGATTCCATGATTACATCCCAGGAAAAGCACATCCCTCACCACCTGTGGAGCACGAATACCACAGCATTGATGTCAACTACAAGAGAGTAACTTATGCTGCAGAAGAGCCCCGTGTTGCAGACAGATTAAATGGTTCTGCACGTCTGGCTGCAGACTGCAAGTATGTATTGTGCTGTTCAGGAGCTAGACACACTCATCCTCAGCACGAATGTCAGATTAATTTGTTGAATGTCAGATTGTAAGACATGCAAAAAAAAAACTGTTTGGAAAGGAGTAGGTAAATGTAAAAACATTATTTCCAGCTCATATTTTCACATTGTTCTGTGATATCCTGGCAGGTTTTTGTGGTGGATGAATTCATCCTACAGAGCTTTGTGGTAGTGTGCATTCAGGCAATAGCAAACATGTCAAGTTGAGATCATGGCTGTTCCAAAACTTCAATGTTTACATGCTGTGTCCATCTTTGAATTTGTTTTGATGTGTGTTTGGTATTATTTCATAAAACTCTGATCTGGTTGCAGATTTCTCAGTTTAGCTGCTGATTTGTAGATAGACATTCTTCTCCTTCAACATTCTTGCAATTTTCCACAATGCACCACTGCAACTCGAAATGTAACAGACACTCATCATGTTACTGCAACTCCTTGTCTTACTGTGGGTGAAGTATTTTTACATTTTAATACTTCGCTTGATTCATTTTTGTCATTGTGGTCAGACAGCTCAGTCTTTATCTCATTTGACAAAGAAACTGTTTTTGAACAGATACTTAACTTGTGGGCAGGTGCAAATGCCAGTTAACTTTGAAAGTGTTGATTTTCGAGTGAGAGCTTTTTTCTTTTTCACCAATAACGTCTTTTGATCCACGTTAATCAAAAGATTGTTTCACTGTATTTTGAATTATCAGACAATGCTGAAAAGATTGATTTGAATAAACTACCTTGAAGCACCAAATTAATGACATTCATGCCCGCAAAGAGTGTCTGCAAACTTCCAACTGATTGCCCCCAAAATAAGCTAGTTTCAACATGTAACTTCATATTGCTGAGGTTTGCAGCACTAATTTTAATCTTCTTTCTGTTGAACAGCTCCGTTCCCCCTCCTCCTCCCCAAGGCCCACCCATCCCATCCACCCAGGCTGCATTTGCCTTTCCACCACCACCACTGAATAATGAAGCTGTGCACATAGGACCAGGTTACCCACTCCCGCCGGTACCTCCTCCTGGACCACATATGACGCCTCCACCTCCGGGTCCCCCTCCTCCACCGCTGCCTCCCCCAGCCCCACCCTCACACTCACCAAGACATAGTAAAACTAAACCGGTTAAAGATGCCAGAAGTGATCTACTATCTGCTATTCGGATGGGTGAGCATGGCTTCTCTGATATCATTTTGTGAAAAAAGGTTTGCTGATTGAAGGTGTGTTAATGTTGTCTTCTATTATTAGGCATCCAGCTGAAGAAAGTTCAGGAGCAGCAAGAGCAGCAGAACAAGAGGGAGCCGGTGGGGAACGATGTGGCCACCATCCTGTCCCGACGAATTGCAGTTGAATACAGTGATTCTGAGGATGATTCTGAATTTGAAGAAAATGACTGGTCAGATTGATCTTGCATAAGCTGAAGCACATGATTAATATGTACTTTTAGGGAACCCGCTGGAAAAGTAAACTGAATTGTGCTTGAACTTGTTTGGCTCCATCTGGTGTGGAGACAGAACCATTGATCTCATGTGCAAATACATGCTTATTTTGTACCTCTAGCAAAATGCATGAATTAGATGAATATTTACATCTTCTTCATGTACAAAACAAAATTATGTGTGCTGCATAGCTTAAAGAAGTTTTGTTTGTCTTCATTCCAGTAATGTTCTCTCAATCAAAACTGATTAATCAAAAACTTATTTATCAATGGGAATTATAAGTTTATAATCATCAGACCCATTTTTTAAAACTACATAAATTCTGAAAATGCTCTGCAGGAAAGAAAACACCAGTATAAATAATGCATGCCATGTCTGGCTGTCGTCCATGATCGCTCTAAGGTGTCACAGTCTCTTTTTGTGCAGTAGTTTTGGTAACATGAAACTGAACACTTGTACAGAGCAGAGACACTGTCGATGTGACACGTTTAAGTGTGTTTGGGATCAAATCCATCTAAATTTTACAGAATTAATTGTTTATATGTTCATTATTGTGTGTATAAAATATATTGCCCCCTTATTCACAACTGTTAAATGTTTCCGCCCATATTTGTTCTGAAGTGTTTTGGAAAAATAATTAAATACCAATAAATATTTCATAAATGTCTTTATGAGAATTTAGTTTTCTTTATTTCATCTTTCTCCTTTTCTCTGTTTTTGGCTCTCCCAAAAATTAAGCAACTATATATTGATATTATTATTATTATTATTATTATTATTATTATTATTATTATTATTATTATTATTATTATTATTAATCTTACTCATAACAATTTTTACACTATCAGTTTCTAATAAATGTAGATTTTATCTTGTTTCTCTCTTTCTGTGTAGTTTTAACACTTAACAGGATTTTTTTATGTTACTCTAACATTTGTCACCTTCTCATCATCAATACAAAACCGTTTCCTCACGCCCTGACATAAACATTATTTTAAATGCACATCTTTCTTGTTTCTTTGTTTGTTTTGTTTTGTGTTGCTTTTTATTGAACATCATTTCCAGGCACTGTGAGGTATGTGCGTTTTCACTTCTGTCCAGCAGAGGTCAGTAATGCGCCTCTGATACCTGAGTGGACAGTCGGAACTGCACAGGGTGGGAAACTGTTTTTCTTCCGACGCCATATTGGCTCAAGACGGAGGAAATGCGGATCTGCTTGAGCCAAAATGGCGACGTTTTTCTTCCCGTGACAGCCCGGTGCTTTGCAGGTGATTAGCACAGGGAAGCTCCTCCTTATCCTGCGACAGTAGAGACAAACCTGGACACAACTTCTTATCAGTTTAAGGTAACGTTCAGATATCAATGTTATTTAGTGTGAGTTTCACAGACATGTTTGTGTTTCATCAAACTTTGTTCGCTGTGGAACCAAACCCAGTGAATTAGTTTTGTGTGAGCGTCGGGACTCTGCTAGCTCGTCACCTGACTCGCTCACGCACAAATCAGCTTTGAAGTCAAAACATGAGACAGCCATCTGTCCTTTAAGGCTCGTTTGTGATCTGCTTACCTTGTCTGCTCATTTTTCAGACACTCCGAAAGTTTAGAAGTGCACTCCGTCTGCTATTCTGTACTATGAGTCAAAAAAAAAAATGAAACAAGTGATCAGATACTGTGTAACTTCAGCCTCTTTTCAATGACTCTCATTACCATCTTTCACATGATGTAACGGTTTTATCTGTCTGATTGTGTCGTATTGAGTCAACTTTGTCAACTCTTGACCTCCCCGGGTTTCTTTGCAGGACGTAAATTAAATTATGGACACGTCAAAGCTTCCTAAGATCCAGGATGAGGAGAGAGAAAGCCAGTTTGGATATGTTCATGGAGTCTCAGGACCAGGTCTGTCCAGTTTTTCAAACAGTATTACAATACAGAGTATCTGTGTTTCATCTAATAACTCTGCTACAAGTTATTTATCAAAAGCCAATGTAATAACGAGGCATAAATAATCCCTTTTAATATGACCATAAAACGGTCAGAGTTTAAGCCAAAGATCAGGGTTTTGTTATTTACAATAGAAAAACTTAAGTGCCATTCAGGTAGATGTAGAAAATAGAAATTATTTTTGAATTTTTTTGTTCTTTAGTGAGCTTTTTTTTGTTTGTTTTTCCATTCCTGCTTCTGACAGTGGTGACGGCCACTGCCATGGCTGGAGCTGCCATGTACGAGCTGGTTCGTGTCGGCCACAGCGAGCTGGTTGGAGAAATCATTCGTTTAGAGGGCGACATGGCGACCATCCAGGTGTATGAAGAGACGTGTATCCTTTCTACTGCCACAAAACCTCCCGTTATATTAAATCCTACTGGTCAAGTTGTTTTTAATAAGGAACATATGGAACGGTGTTAGAAGCAGGTTGCGATCACCTTGGCTTTGTGGGTGTGTTTGTTTTCCCCTAACTTTATGCTCCAGCTGGTGTGTCTGTCGGTGACCCTGTCCTCCGAACGGGGAAACCCCTTTCTGTGGAGCTGGGGCCGGGAATCATGGGCTCCATCTTTGATGGTATCCAACGTCCACTAAAAGACATTAATGATCTCACTCAAAGCATCTACATCCCACGAGGAGTAAATATCGGCGCTCTTAACAGAGACATCAAATGGGAGTTTTCTCCCGGCCAGAGCCTTCGGGTGGGAAATCTTCCCAATACTACTTTGGATTTAATTACTATTTCTCAACTAGTCTGAGTCATTTTCTTTGTTTGTTTTTTTCTTTTCCCGGCTACAGGTTGGCAGTCACATCACAGGCGGAGATATTTACGGGACTGTGTTTGAAAACTCCTTAATTAAGCACAAACTCCTGCTTCCACCTCGAAACAGAGGCACTGTCACCTACCTGGCTCCACCTGGGAACTACGACCTTTCTGTGAGTGCTGCTCATAAAGCTGAATGCGCTGCAGAGTTTTGAAATAAATGACGTATTTGTTTCAATTTGATCTTCTTTTTTGAGTGTAGGATGTTGTTTTGGAGCTTGAATTCGAAGGAGTAAAGGAGAAGTTTACCATGGTCCAGGTGTGGCCAGTACGACAAATTCGGCCAGTAACAGAGAAACTACCTGCCAATCATCCACTGCTGACTGGCCAGAGAGTTCTTGATGCACTTTTCCCGTGAGTGCTTCTTTGGATATTGAATTATGTGTTTAATCACATTAATTAGTTTCATAAATATGTATTTGTCAACTGTTTAAACCTGCATGATTTTTACTTCTCATAGATGTGTACAAGGTGGCACAACTGCTATACCTGGAGCCTTTGGGTGCGGAAAGACCGTGATCTCGCAGTCGCTGTCAAAGTACTCCAACAGCGACGTCATCATCTATGTGGGCTGTGGAGAACGTGGCAATGAGATGTCTGAAGTGCTGCGGGATTTCCCAGAGGTTGGTGGAGCAATTTTTATGTTTTTAATGTGTAATTTCTGTAACTGGAACACTTTTTGAACTTTTTATACTCAGAAAAATGTGCCACTTTAGTTTTCAGTAGCTACATTAGGCATTTATGTTTTTTGTTTGTTTGTTTTATGGTTTTTATCTTTTTGCTTTAAATTTGAGATTCTACTGACAAAGCATTTTAGCAAACTGTCAGAGTTGAATATAAAAAAGCAACTACATTTATTACGGCTTGCTGAACTCAATGGCCACGATACAGCAAGATATATGAAGTAACACTGCATCACCAAAACAGATGGAGGTTGAGGGGAAAAGACCAAGTTTGGGACGTCCTAGTGAAAGTCCATAACTAAGTTTGATAGAACATGTTGGGTTTCCTATAGTCGGCTGTGGATCAGAAATGTCCTTACTTAAGATGACATAAACTGATGTAATCTTACTGTTTCCTTTGCTCAACAGCTTACAATGGAAGTTGATGGCAAAGTTGAGAGCATCATGAAGAGAACAGCACTGGTTGCAAACACGTCCAACATGCCTGTGGCCGCTCGAGAGGCTTCCATCTATACAGGTGTGTGCATGTTAAAACAAATCTTTGTTAGAAGCTGGTAATAGAGTTTCGTCGTTAATAAAATAAGTCTTTAACTACTTGAGCTAAAAGGCCATGCATGAAGGAAGAAGCCATCACTTCAAAAGCAAGATCACAATTTGCAAATGTATCGTATTTACTTATAAAACATAAACTGAAGAGTTATGATCATTGTTCCATTTGGAGAACAGTAGGAGAAAGTTTTGCTTGCGGAAAAATCCACGAAACTTCGAATCATAAACATTCGGATAATATAATATTCAAAATCAGATCGTGATCTCTTGTAAGTATGTTTCTTTTTATAATTGAAATATACAGATATTGTCTAAAACGTGTTTTATGGCTCATGGTTAGTAGACCAAACACCCATTAGATTTAATAATATTGTTCATGTCTCTGCAGGAATCACACTGTCTGAGTACTTCAGAGATATGGGCTACAATGTGAGCATGATGGCCGACTCAACGTCCCGATGGGCCGAGGCGCTGAGAGAAATTTCCGGAAGACTGGCTGAAATGCCTGCAGGTGAGTTCACTGGTCATATGGTATCTATTTATTTACATGTGCAGAGATTGTCTGTCCAACATAGATAATCAAGACCAGAAAAAATCTAGCATTGCCTTTATCTTTAAAGAGCTGTTAAAAACAGTGATGATGTGAATGCTCCTGCTCCCAGACAGCGGTTATCCTGCCTATCTGGGCGCCAGGCTGGCTTCCTTCTACGAGCGTGCTGGACGTGTGAAGTGCCTGGGAAATCCAGAGAGAGAAGGCAGCGTCAGCATCGTTGGAGCGTCAGTCCATGTTTCTATTGTTCTTGTTTTTTCACTTATTGACCCCAAATGGAATCAGTTCTGATTCATGTTAGATTGTTAGAAACAATTTTTTTTTATCAGAAATTTTGTTAAAAGGAGCGTTTAACATCATGATTATAATGATCATCTTTACATCTAGCTTTTTATCGAGTTAATATAAAGTTTGATCTGCATTGTATCAGTCATCAGACTGACTCTTGTTTTAATTTGGTGACTCTTGTTAGTGTGTCGCCCCCTGGTGGAGACTTCTCAGATCCAGTCACTTCAGCCACATTGGGAATAGTTCAGGTACCCTCCTGGTTATGGTGCCTCAGTCATGGATCCTCCTCTATTTGATCAATGTGTGTGAAACTTAATTTGTTCTTCCCAGGTCTTCTGGGGTTTGGACAAGAAGCTGGCTCAGAGAAAGCACTTCCCTTCAGTAAACTGGCTAATCAGCTACAGCAAGTACACGCGAGCGCTGGATGAGTATTATGACAAACACTTTCCAGAGTTTGTCCCTCTTCGTACAAAAGCAAAGGAGATTCTGCAGGAGGAGGAGGACTTGGCTGAAATTGTGCAGCTTGTAGGCAAGGTAAGGAGGACAGAGAGGGTAGAACATGTGACCAAATCTCAGATCAAAATTATAAATTGCAACTTGTGTGGTAAGGGAAGCATTACATAATCCCTTTAGTGCAATTATTACATGTGACTGATGGGTTAGTACACAGTGACTAAACATCCGATCCTGTGTTTTTTATTCTGACCAACATTGGGTCAGCTGATGGCTGCAGACAGTGTCAATTTGTTTGCAGGCTTCTCTCGCTGAGTCTGATAAAATCACTCTGGAAGTAGCTAAACTCATAAAGGATGACTTCCTGCAGCAGAATGGCTACACCCCCTATGACAGGTCAGAACGCCTACTTTTATTTATTTTTAAAATCTTACCTTAACTATGGGTATTTATTTTGCCATGCATATACCTGGGGGCATGCCTTTGTCTTTTTTTTCCAAGTTCAATACTTTTCTGAACAACTTGCATGATATGAATCATTGTTAACCTTTAATCTCAGTAAGTTATTTCCCATTATTTTTCCTCTTTTCAAATGAGTGCCATACGATTTATTTTCTAAATATGATTACAGTTACTTACTTTTTATTTTTCAACATATTATATGTTTTATCAGCTTCTGATGCTACACAGATGCTGATCAAATCAAGGCTAAAAACCCTCCTTGGATTAATAATCCAATAAATTTGATGATGATTATTCTTGATGATTTTGGTGATGGCATTTGACTAAATATAACGTTTACTGCTTGTTTTATATTTGATGACTGTAAAATGTTTTTATGATATAAAGCACTTTGAACTGCCTTGGTGGTGATTTGTGCTACACAAATAAACTGATGAATGAATCTGCTGGGAAACGACGGGAGCAAGTCTGCGAATGTTTCCTTCATGTGCTGATAAGGTTCACACATTCCACACGCAGGTTCTGCCCCTTTTACAAAACCGTTGGCATCCTCTCAAACATGATTGCATTCTACGACATGGCCCGACACGCAGTGGAGTCCACGGCTCAGAGCGACAACAAGATCACCTGGGCCATGATCCGAGAGCATATGGGAGAGATCCTATACAGGGTCAGCTCCATGAAGTTCAAGGTACATTTGGTTTTGGTTTGATTTGTTATGTATTTTAGGAGTTACAACGGGAAATGAAGTTGTTGTGTGTCTTCCTCAGGACCCTGTTAAAGATGGAGAAGCTAAGATCAAGGCAGAATATGCCCAGCTGCTGGAGGACATGCAGAATGCCTTCCGGACCCTCGAGGAATGAGCCTCCAGTTTCTTGTCTCTACACCAAAGTAGCCGAAACATATAGTCCAGAATCGTTGGCCCATATTGTGTTTGTCCTCCACATTTGTGTGAACATTCTCTCTGTGTTTACATCACGTCAAACATTCCAGGACTATCATACATTTTCATGTCTTTTGGATTTTATTTGATTTAAAACCTGCTGCTGGAACATTTGCTGTGTTCTGTAAAGACTTTCATTCCTGGTTTTGGCCAAAGGTTTCAACCTCTGGGCTTTGATCAGCAGTTGCACTTGTATCAGAGTGAAAATGAAGATGTCTTCTTTTTTCTTGAAATTATTTTTAAAAACTCAGTTTTAAACCATGCAGATGGATAAAGGGACAGAGTATTCAGGGTGCAGTCAGTGGGGTTTAATCTTTTTTGTCTCCTACCTCTTGAGGGTGATTGTGATGTGGACTCTACACTTGATACAATATGTAAAAATGTATAATGAAATAATCTTTGAGTTTGTGTTTCAACAAATGTCTGTTGGTGGTGCTTTAAAATAAATACAAAAAAAAATACCTCAAGCTCTGACTTTGAAGTGAGATTTTTATCACGTTCTCTGAGTTTTTGAGAAATGGGATCAGGAATCAAATATCCCTCGATGATGTTTGATTGTTTGATATTGAGGTGCATGTTTAAGCTCACAATTAAGTTTTGTTTGTCACATTCCAGATAATATGAATATTAAGTAGTTGTCAGAAGAAGGAGGTTATAATTAATAGTATTACCACCTTGTTTTTCCAGACAAGTTCAAACTTCCCATTTAGTAGTTTTTGGGATCAAATGCAATCTTGTACAATAGTAAACATTTTATCTCAGTGGTGGATTTCAGCACATACTGCTGCTTCAGAGCCACAGCATAGCATCTTCCAAATTGGTTTAGAGCTGTTATCTCAGGTTCCGGGCTCCATTAAGACTAATGGAAGCATAACCCGTAAAGCCGAGAGCAGCATCTTTTTGCCTGCATTGATTCAGTTTGTCTAGACGCACGTTTATATAGACATTAAGGGCTCAGAATACACCAGCCTACGCATCATAATGCACCTGCATCACCACCTCCGATTCTTTGGTTTGTAATGATTGTGTGGGGAAGTTATTGAGGGAAAATTAGAAAAAAAAAATAACCGTGCGTTTGTTCCTGTGAAAACCATGTACCATATGGGTCTGCTGCTAAATTGAAGTAATTACAAAACAATGGCAAAATGTCTCTTATAGAGACCAGTTAATAACTGAATTGTTCTGGTAGCTTCCAGGAAGCTCAATCCTCCAGGCGCCGAAGTGCTTTCTGATTTCTTATGCAGCTGCCTGTTAACACAGTGAGGCCTGCATTAAACACTTATGATCCATACTTCCTCTTTTGCCCCGTTTAGTGGTGATGTAAAGCTAGATGGATGCAGCGTTTTGCCAAAGTATATTTTTACCACTTGACTTTATTTTGATTCTATGCTATTCTATTCTATACTTCAGGGTATTTTCTCAAGATTTTATGTGACAGAACAACATAAAGTAGAACACAGCTGTGAAGTGGCAAAACTATGCATGCTTTTTCATTTAATTAATAAAATCTAAAATTAAGCTCCATTTACACTGACACTGCAAAATAAAATTCACTGACATGGTGGTTAGAATAAGAGTATCTCTCAAATCATAAATCCAGCTGTTTGGTGAAGACCTGAGAGATTCATTAGAGAAATTCATTTGCTAAACAAAAGCATAAAATAGTGTGCAGGAATTTAAAACTTTATTACAAATTCTTTTATGGACAAATGCTGCAGTTACTCAAGCCATTATCCCCAGATGGCCATCTTGTTTTTGACTACAAAAAATTAAGCCATCACAGTTTGTGGCTGTATTGTGATGAAATGTCAAAAAGTTCAATGGGGTATGAATAGTTTTGCAAGCTCACTGCTGAGGTGTTTACGAGCATGAAGTCGAACCATCTTGTAAACACCACAGTGCCGGGGGGCCGGGGGGGTCAGAGGCCGACTTCACTGCATGGGTCACTTAACACATTGTCACTTTAAGTGAAAAGAGGTGCGAAAAGCAAAACATTTACATACAAAAATGTATGAGAACACACATCAGAGCACAGATCACACACCAACACTTTCAACATAGTTTTCTGTGTGGGAGCTGCAAGGTCAAACGTCTTGTGGGAGGAAATGTGATCCGTGAGGGTGGGGCTGCTCATGGATCAACGATCACTCTCTCATCGTATGAGTGCCTGTCATGTTTCTCATGCACACCTCATCCAGCTGGGTGTGAATCATCAGGGCTGCCGTTGCAGCTTTTGAACACCTCAGCAGAGACCTTGCTGAGCTGAGGCTCCACCGGCTCTCTGGTCGGCCCAAACCCGTAGAGAGGGGGCTTCCATATTTACCAAGCATGCCAGCATTAAAATCTGAAACGACAACTGACAGAGGACCACGTATGCCAGAGGACGACTTGTAAACTATTCAAAGTTACGAGAGGCGGTAGATGCAACATGATATTAAAACCACTTGTCAAGAGAATTAAGCTGCCTTCTGTTGGGACACTTCCTCCATGGGAATCCGAGCAATGGAAACCATCTCCCTGCACTGACACGCTGCTGCTGCTGCTGCTCCACCAGGACTGAAACATGCCAACACAAATGAGAAACTAGGCTGCTCTGTTCATCTTTCCCTTCAGTCACTCACAGAAGGAGCTTGGTGACAAGAGGTCACTTCTCATTTTTGTTTCTTCATCATCACTCACCGTTCACACTTGGAATAAGGGAATCTAATTCTGTCGAGCTTTATAATTTGCTCAAAAACAAAAGGTAAGTAAACAGAAACTGTTGATTTCTTTGTGAATGTTTTTCTTGGTATTTCAATACCATTAAGATATAATCAACTCGCACCGATCTTCCTTAGATGCAGTCAAATTTATAATTTTCAAAACTGGTCTATAGTTATTATTTATCCTTTTGTTTTTTATACATTCTTAATGTATATCTGAGTCATTTTAATATGTTGCACCTACAATAACTCCAAGCAATCTTTGAGTTTTAGGGTCTCAGGTTTCTTGGCCCAGATAGCTAGTCTCTGCAGACACGGTGGCCTTGTTTTAACAAATTATATTTGAATCTCCAAGGATGTGAAAGCAATCAGAAGTGATTGAAGTTTATGCTTTATTTTAGTTTTTAAACAAAAACTAGTTCATCTTCTAAAAGCAGCTTGCAATGCCTTTAATCCATTCATTCACTCTAACCATTTTTTTTCTGTCATCTGTGCATCTGGTTTATAGATCTACAGCTATATATGACATATATTTTTATCTAATGTATCGCATAAAGTTGTAAACTAGATCGCTTCTTGTTTCTGCTCTTTCACATGACAACACCCAAAATAAAATTCACAGCTTTCGTTTTCAGCATTATTTTTAACATAACTCATCTTTCTCAAATGAACATAACAAGCACAGAGTTTGCTATCCAACAGTCAATTTAGGTGTGTGCCTATCAATTTAGCTGATTAATGTTTTCTAAGTTGGTGGTTTCTGAAGTCAGTCTTTTGTAATAGTAATTACTGGAATTGTCACATTTTTAAAGATTTTTATTTGCTAGAAATGTTGCTTCCTGATTTTTTTAGTCATTTAAATGACACGTTTTTATCTATGCTTTTGCCTCTGCTTTAATGACTGCATTTTCTTTTAGAGTAGTTAAACATCGGTGGGATCTTTAGCAGGTCGCTATGAAATGGGAGAAGCTGAAGCCTCCAGAGCCAGATGATCCCATGTGTTGCTGTGAATGTGACATCTACCAGTACAGGTGTTGCTGTGACTGTCAAGATCTGGATGAAGAGTTCAATAGGTGCGGCGTGTGATGAAACTGTTTTTACGGTGCCGAAAAAATGTGAGGATGAACCAGCAAGCTAAGAAAGTCTTTGAACTACTTTTTTTTCTTAGATTATTAGACGAGATCCTTCCTTTCCTACTGTAGCAGAGCCCAACCCACCCTGACAAATAACACTCCATTGGCTTTTTTTATACCTCCTTAATCCTGTTCAAGGTTATCTCAGCTTTATGCAGACACACAGAAGAAGAGCAGGAAACAGATATATCACCCTTCATAATTTCCTTTGCCTTTTATTGTCTAAATTATAAAAAGTATATTTTTTTATGCACCAGCATAACTTTGCAACTGTTAAAGCTCCAAGCACATTTATTCACTCCGTAAAATTGAGAAATAGTTAAAAAAAAAAAACAGTCTGGATACCGCTTACAAAAATGTAATAATTCCTTTGTTCTTTGATTTTAAATCAGTTTTGAGCTGTTTCTAGGTCCACTGACACCATGTTTGTTTTTTAATTCCATCTGATAGTTTTAAAATATGTTAATTATGTTAAAATATTTATTATCAAAACTATAGAAAATTAGCATTTTTTTCGATAGCGTTCAACAGATGGAACATTTTCATTTGAGAACAAAATGATAGGATAACAAATACCATGATTTTAGCCTGAAAACGTGCAGCTTATCAAAGTACAGTAAAATGTATAGTATATTGTTGTTGCTTAAGTCTTTTTTCTTGTGCTTTTCTCAGGTGGCTGAAGGAGAAACCACCTTCATGTGGGCTCCAGTCTCCTGTGCTTAGGACCATGATCAACCACCTGGAGATCTCCATGATCCCGGCTCTGCTGCTGCTGCCTCTCCTGCTGAAAGCTGCATCGCTGCACTATCTGCTCGGTATCACCATCCTCACTGCTCTGCCGGTCCTGGTGCTGTCTTACTACTACGCCACCCATCAAAGGAAGAGGCGCACCCTCTTCTTCCTCACCCTTGCCCTCTACTCCCTGGCCTACATGTATTATCTCTTCATTGTGGAGATTTTACCCCGCGGGGATGTCAGCCCACTGCAGACGTGTGCTGTGACCACTGGGATGATTCTCACTATAGTTTCACTCATTTACACTAAGAGAGGTCCAGGATTTGTCTCTGCCTCTCACCATGAAGCAAACCATCAGAGAATGGACACAGAAGATGACGCTACTCATTCTGATGGATTTATCCAGGCAACAGACACAGAACAGACAAGAAAATATCCCCCAACAACAAAATGGAACTTGTGTCCTGTGTGCAAAATAATGCGACCCCCGCGTGCTGGACATTGCAGAACATGTGGATCGTGTGTTCTGCGTCTGGACCACCACTGCATCTGGTGGGTGTCCTTTAAAATAGTTTATCAGTGGCTTTTTTTTTCTTTTTCTTTTTTTTGCTGATTTTTCCAACCAAGATTGCAGATCTTTTAACTGCAATAACTTCTGTTAATATATGTGCAACAAACAAGTTGCACAACAGTCATTCTAACACATAGTTTTAGAAAGTCAACTTTGTTGGCCACATTTTGATATAACAAAAAAATGTAGTTTGGTTGTGATGCAAAATCTGGAAAAGCATCATGTCTTTAAAGCATGACATTTAGCAGTAATTTTGCTCTCACTTCATCACAAAAAGCTCTATTAATTCTGATAATAAATTACACACAACAGGACTTTGTTTACTAATTAGATAACTAGCAAAGGCAATTATTTGCACTCATTTTTCTTTATTTTGGGGTATCAGAGGAAGGTAACACTTTTTTCTTCATGAGCATTTTTTAAAACTATGGGTAAATTACCCTCCTCTTTGCAATTGTGCACTAATTTGATTCAGCAAATCACATTGAGGTATCTGTGACATGGCAAAATGTGGAATTGCATCTTGTGTTCATCCTCTGACCTGTCTGTCTGCGTTGCATGTTGAGATGCTGCAGGATAAACAGTTGTGTGGGACAAGCAAACCACCGCAGCTTCCTGCAGACCCTCTGTGTGTTTGTGCTGACCTCCGTCTACGGGATCGGTTTGGTGCTCCGCAGCCTCTGTCCTCATCAGTATCTGATGACGGCCCTTTTCTACTGCCCCGGCGTCTACAGCCAGCCCAGGTGTTGCAGACTCTTCAAAACAGAAAAAAAAAAATTACAAACTCAACAGAGAGTTGTATGACAAGGAAAAGCTGTAATATGGCAACAGAGGCAGAAATCAACTTTATTTTTTTAAAAGTATGAATTATTGTTCGTAGGCATTACATGTTACATAATATGTTGTATTGTTATGTTTGCTCTGTGTGTGTTTACAGCACAGCCCTTTGCTTCACCTGCTGCTGGTACAGCAGCATAATCACAGTCGGACTGCTCTACCTTCTGGTGGCGCAGGTTCTGAACATCAGCTTCAACGTGACGGGACGGGAAGCTCAGCTGGCTCTGAGGAACAAGAAGGGTCACAGCCGCCTGTGGGGGCTTGTCATCGACACCGGAGAGTATTCACGTGGCTTCTATCAGAACTGGGCTGAGTTTCTCACAATGGCAGACTCCTCTGTGAGTCTTCACTCCAGCCCCACCGACTTGGTCTAGTTTCTTCTACAATCTTATTAAAACTTGATCACCGCTTCAGACTCTCAGTGCACTTTAAAGAGCTTATGATTCGGCATATGATTCTGACAGTAGTTTCAATTTACACAAGCCTGTAGGAGAATATATTCTTGTGTTTAAAAAAGAGCACACACACGTGCATATTTTGTGAACAATTGCTTTGCCCACGGCTTGAAAAATGATTTATTATATACCTCTCTGCATTAAAACTAAATAAATGCATGTTTCAGAAGCAAAGATGTGATTAATTCAATAATTTTTTTAGAAAAGGTTGAAGACTTTTTACTTGGTAATAGCTGTGTAGCATTAACCTTTAAGATGATTAAATACATTTTAGTTTCACATTGTGTTTGAGTATTTAGCATTCAACACAACACAGTACTGATACTCAGTGTATATTAACTGTTAGCTACTCTCAAAGCTGAAAAGTGAATGCAGTAGTGTTTAATACTTTATTTTATTTATGTAGCATTCTGTGAAGTTCTGTCATGTTTTTAATGAAATTCTGTTTTATATTACCTTTTAATCTTCATCCTCCATAGAGTCAGAAGGGAAACTGTTAAAAACTGCAAGAAGTAGTTTCTGAAACTCAAAAATGTCTGTTTTATGATGCATCTTCAACGATGGAAGTCTTTAGAGAACGCTGTAGCTCTACGAAACAAAGGGAGTGATGGCCGCACCAGCTGCTGGTGTTACATTTGGTAAAATATTCGATATTACAAAATGTGTAGCATCCAATTTGTAAACTCTTAGCGTCATAAATGAAAAATGAATCAGGAGTATTTCAATGCAACATTCAACATCCGATTCTCTTGTCATTTCTTGACAGAACAGTTTTTAATAAGTCTTCAAATAAATTGATCTCCCTCTCCTTTACAAAACTCAGTTCAGAACTTATTGTTCCCTCAACTCCAGCAGATGTAAACCCGAATAGTTTGTCCTCTGCTGCCTCCATCAGGTCACTTTTTTCCTCTACAAAATACCTGTGAAACTTCTCTCATTTATGTAACTCGGAGTCCATTCACATTCCCTTTCGTCCGTTTTAATCGAACTCTAGTTCGTCTCTCTGGAAAGTCCAGTTCTTTTGGAGAGATGTGAAAGTTTGAACTCTAAATTTGAACTCTAATGCGGGCTAAAAAAGCGAAAGCTGATTCAAAACCTGGGTCTGAGTTTGGTTGAAGTGAACACTTGGCACGGTTGAACGCATATGTGAACGCAACCCGAGAACAGACGTTCCAAAAGCAGGCAGTGGACTACAGCGCAGAGCATTATGGGTAAATACAACTAAAACAAATGCACGTTTCCACCACTGGCGGGAAAAATGGCTCGTGAACAGATGTGGAATGAAGAGGAGGTGAAGGCCTTCAGACAAATATGGTGAGAGGAAAATGTATTGCAAATACTTGTAACCGCTCACAAAAACAACAAGGTTTTCAAACTAATTAGCATAAAAATTAAATGAACAGTTTGGCAGTTTGTTTTTGCTCATTTCTATTTTAAATATGTCAATATGACTAATCCCAATGAATAACTATGGTGACATGTTTAATATTTTAATAAAACAGACTGAAGTTCAAGAGACAGCCATTTCAGCCAAAATGTATTTACTTAATTTTGGCTGAAATGGCTCTCCATACACCACCGGCTCCCTGCTTTATGAAGAAAAGGGCTAACCAAGCTGAAGAAAGACATTTCCAGTTAATGCAAGAGCAGCACAGGAGCAGCAACCAGCTGTTCTTTCAGATGATGTCTAATTTTCTTGATGTTGCAATGCCCCAATCCATGACACCATGCACCCCATCATCGCCATCCTCTCACCAGCCCTCTGCACACACTGATACCTCACATTCATTCATTTACCACCAGCATAAAATATCAACTATGCACCACTAAGTACCTGCAACAGTCCAAGCCCCACAGGAGCCAAACACGTTAGCTTCATCTCAGCATTCAAGGGCTTCTGTTCTAGGTGACGTCATCTTTGATTTGTAGAGAAAAGATAAGAGAAAACTATTTTGAAACATTATTTTATCAAGTATAAAACCAGTTTGAACTCATAAAAGTTAGTCAAAAATATAAATTTGTTAAAATGTTGAGAACAACGTGTGCAAAAATGTTAAATGTTCAATTTTAAACTGTCATTTGTTACAATGAATGTTGAACTGTTATTTGTTACAATAGGAACATGGTATGAACAAGCTGTTCTTTTCTTGCAAAACTGCAGCATATGAACATGTGTCATGCAAAGACACAAATCTATATTTAGAAATGTAAGAGCACAAAACCGTGTTAAAAAACTCAATATTCTTTTACAAATGGTTTCACCAACCAAGGCCGTAGTGGGTATGCAGCATCTCCGAGAATGTGTAGGGGTACGTCCACATTGTTCAGTCTTTCTATCCAACCTGGGAACAGTGTCCATTTTCACCTCTACTATACAATGAAGAGTTGACTAAAACCCTTAAGTCACTAACTTTTCCTGGAGAGCCCACATTAATATCCCAGAATTTCATTTTGTTGTCTACCACACCCTGCAGAATAACAGAGTATGCATTTTTCCTGTTGTAATAGTCAACAGAATTCTCATCTGGTGCCATAATGCTGATATGAGTCCCATCAATTGCACCTGCAACCTGGGGTAACGCCCATCGATCCCTGAAGCCCTGGACAATAACCATCTGAAGGGGTTTTTATATAACCACGGAGTAAAATAAAGAAACTTTGTCAAGCTTCTTTCCATCCATCTGAAGGGGTTTTTATATAGAGAGATTTCATTTCCACGTTAATAGCAGTAACAACCTGTTGTGTGACACAACAGGCTGTAGAAATGCCAAATAGGTGGGAGATGACGCGATACTCCAGATTTGTTGCAAGCCTCCACAGACATATTGCAACCCGCAGCTCAACATGAAGTGGACTACGAAAGTTAGTGTGCTGTCGTGTCAAACGTGTTTGCAGGATGTCACAAAGATGCAGAAATTAGTTTTTTCTTATCCTGAAGTTTTTTTCAATTAGTTTGAATCGTTTGAGACAGTCCAGTGGGAAGTGAGCCACACCAGCTGAAAATGTAACATTTGTTGCAATTTTGGTTCCCAACTGAACTGATTGTACCGGAGTATCAACTGTGGAAAATTCTTAGAAAACATCCCAAGTCTAGATATTTAGTCTAGTAATGTAGCTTTAAATGATCTTCAATTGGAACCAGACAATTACACTGTAAAAAAAAAAGACATACTTAATTTATTCTATCCACCTAAATCAGACTGTTTTGGATGGGTCAGTTAAGCTTAAATTTTATTCTATTTGCTAAATGACAAAATAACAAGAATATGCATTTTACGACACAAGTTTGCAAATAGTAAGATTACTATTCCTGTAAAATTTTAGGGGAAAACCAAATATAACCACGGAGTAAAATAAAGAAACTTTGTCAAGCTTCTTTCCATCCATCTACCTGTGCATCCATCCATCATTTTATCCTAAATAGGGGCTGCAGGGGCAACTACTCCAACAGGGTAACCTGGACATCCTGTATTTGCAGTATTGTATGCTGTACATCCTTTCCGGCCTGGCAACACATTATGATGAATCTGGGAAGGATCCTGATCAGAAAGCTGAACAATCTCAACTGATTTCTTTGTGAATGGAGGAAGAGAGGCTCAGCTCTCAGCTCCTGGGAAACCAGACCAACTAATTCACAGCCAGGATGAAAGTTGCACCCCACCTCCTTAGTTGGTCAGAACCTTCTGTCCTCCGTGGACTCATGGAGATCATATTGGGAACCACAGTGGGGTCCTGATGTAAAGCTTGAGAAACACCAGCAAAAACAGACGTTCCTCATTCAGAACTTGGAGCTCACTGCAATTAACTGATATTTGGGGCCAATGGCGAGATGACCATTCCAAATTTCTGTGACAAAGGACAGTTATTTAACACGTTAAAAAATAAATAAATAAAAAACTACAAACAGATTTAATTAAATCAAATGCTTCTGTTAGGAAAATTGTTGCATGTTTTTGCAAGAGTTCCAAACTCTCGCAGAGAGAGAAAACAGACTGGAGGTTGAGCAGCTTTTAAAGATATTCCTAACATTATCAGGCATGCAATTCTATGCATAACACCTGGCCAGTTCCGTGTTGTGTTTTGCAACCGGAAGGGAAAAGATGCATCCCTCCCTTCCCGGCTCCTCCATCACCCCCTCTGTCTGCTATATAAACAATCACCGGCAGGACTTTTCGACAGCCCTGCAGAACTTCCTACCGGTTCTCTTCAGTAGCCATGACTCCACTGTTGGTCCTGCTGGGAGCCGCGCTCTGCTTCCTCACGGTGTCCACTGAAATCGTCCCTCAGGCAGACTACAACCCACAGGCGGTGAGAGACCATGCGTGTTGGTGCATGCACATTTATATTCTATTTCTTGTATTTTATACAAAATCTGTAAATGTTTTTCTGCAGTGATCTGAAGGTTGACCTCCTGGAATTTTGAGGAAATTATATACGGGGCATATTTTACTTTTTTAATTTAAAGTGAATGGTTTTCTAAAATTTGGAACTGATATTAGGGTGTAAAAAATAAAACAGGCACATTATCAGGTATTGATGCAAATATTTGTCAACAACAGCAGATTGTTTGCTGTTTACCATCACATTAATATCATAAAAACTTCCTTGTATTATATAAATTTCAATTGAAAATTGGAAAAAAAAAACAGTAAATTGACATCACAATTGACCATTTAGTATAGTTATTTAGATACATGCATTTTATTATTTACATAAATTATGAATGTTTGACAAATTAATACTTAACATGCTTACACACTTTACAGGTAATACTTTTAAAGGGGAGTATTATGTAAAAAAAAAATTCTTAAGTTTTATTTCATGTTATTTCCTCACCAAAAACATGCATATTGTTGCTTTGATGTTTGTCATGTCTGTTTGAGAAATCCTTTAATCTCCCGTGGCAACCATTTTAGTTGCCTAAATACTTGCTCTTAAACTCCTACGTGTAAATCACTGAAACATGGTTTTGTATCCACACATTCTCCATTTAGCTCCTTCAGACTAGCATCAGCAGCAATTAGCAAAAATCTGTTGAAACTGCATCTGCCGAGCTCATCATACCAACTAGTTATTCTAAGAAGGGTAGTAAACGACTTAATAAAGAAGCATTTTTGTGAGGACGTGCTGAAGGCGGCATGTCAGGAAGGGGAGTTTCTTAAAGAGACAGGGACCCACTTTCTTTCAAGAGATGCTTGATACATACAGCATTTTTAGAACAGCAGGTAACATAGTAACTCGGTTGTGCTATAAAATGGAAATGTGTAACACTGCCCCTTTAAGAGCAAAAACAACATATCAAGGTTATATTGAATGAATGGCTTTTAATATTCTGTTTGCTGCAACAGGCAAGAGGGAAGTGGCACTTGATTGGATTCGCTTCCAACAGCATGTGGTTCGTCAACACCAAAGGCAAAATGAAAATGGGCTTTTGCACGCTAGAACCAACTGCAGAGGGAGACATGGATATATCATGTTCCAGACTTGAGTAAGAGGACACCGAGCGAGAGAAAGGAACGTAGAAAATGAATCACATTTTCAAACGAGTTGTATCTCCTTGCAGCGCCAATGGTTCTTGCAGGAGAAGGAGCTACCGAGTCAAGAAGACTGACGTGCCTGGGAAGTTTACATATTTCAGTACGCGTAAGTATGACGCACACGCCAAAGTAATGCGGTTTTAACAGGCACACTGACATCTTATTGCTTTTGTTAGGTGGGCGCACTATGAAGGACGTGATTATGGTGGACATCAAGTATGATGAGTATGCAATGATTTACAACATGAAGAAGGATCTAGAGGCCACCAAAATCGTCCAACTTTATGGTAAAGTCCTGACTGGCAGTGCTACATTTTGTGTTGCTGTATCTTTAGTAGCAGATTAATCTTTTGTGACCTTTCCAGGCCGTAAAGATGCAGTCAGTGCCAAAGTGAAGGAGAAATTCAGACAGCTCGCCTTGGATGCTGGCGTTCTGGCTGAAAACATTGTTCTCCTTCCTAAAACCGGTACTTTTAAATCACTGGATCCTGTTTTTGTATCCAACTACATTAAATGGATGCAAACACTAATCAATTTAATCTCTTTTGCTTTCGTCAGCTGAGTGCCCACCTGCCTGATTTCCTCCTCTACTCATCATGTCGGTGATTCAAGCTGGAGATCATTTCCTTTGCTGTGGAAATATTACTCTATCAAAGCTACTGGCTAAAACATCATGTTGTTGCTTTGCTTTGCAACGAATCCACTGTTCCATTTACCTGAGCACCATAACTGAGTTCTACTAGCAAAATAAAAGAAACGGCTAAAATACTTTGCTTTATTATCTTTTTTTAACAAATACGCAGACGTACATCCATAACAACACAATTCGGATTTCCTTTTTATCAAGTGTTTACATCTACACGCTTTGTACAGATCTGTATACAAAACAATAATTTACGTCCCATAGAAGTCTAGTTACACTTAACTATACAACGAGTTGTAAGTGAAATAAATATAAAAACAGAAATGATCACAGGTGTTAAAGGATGTAAAAAGCCATAATACGCATACACCACCAGCACCTGGCATCTGAATGTTGCATCTAAAGATATACATTTTCCCTTTTCTACTGGCAAAAGTACATCTGTGATGGTGAAAACACAGTTCAGTCCATAGATCCAGATTTGCAGCACCACATATACTGTATGATTCCGAAAATACATTTCACTCAAATCAACTTTGAAATTCATTGGGTTTTTCTCCCTTGTCTGAATTAAACGATTGAAAACACTGAAATTTAGGGCTTAGTCTCCGCTTGATCCCGGCAACTGAGCACATTTACAGACAAGAAACAGAAATATTGGACATAAAGAAAAGCATTGATTGCACAGCGATTCATGTGCATATGTCGATGTTAAATCACAACCATAGAGCGTCCACTTCTTTTACAGGTAAATTTAATGATTGTGGTGGACACAGAATGATTTTTGACACCGTTCTGTTTTTGTTACCACAACAAAACCATTATGTTACATATTGGTGGGATCAAAGCACCAGGAAGCTCAACATAGGGGGACTTTTTATGGCCTTCTTTCTCCCTTTCATTCACACACAAACAAACTGAATTTCACAAGTGCTACTTAGAACATGTGGCTAATCCACACCTCTGTTGGGTTAAAAGTATATTTTAAAAGAATGATGCAAACATTCTGAAAATTACACTTCGATTAAGACAAATAATTAGGACCGATTTTGACCGAGAACTGATTGCTACCTGCCAAATCCAAAAATGTGTATCTACAAAAAGACAAACTGCCATGCACACAGTCACCAGCAGGGGACATGCAGTTAAAAAGTGCAAGTCTATGAAGAAGGGGCAGAGGAGGCGCTAACTCTGTCAGAGACTTAATGGTATGTACATTAGTATACGTCTGCGAAGAAACATAAGGCTGAGGATTAGAAAGAGCAAAAACAACAGATTGGACAAAAGTAGAGCGAACACACCACAGTTTCTGTGAGTGTGCAAGGACTCGGGTGTGTGATGGGCGTTTCTGATGTTGGTCTTTGTTCTGGCACAGTATTTGGCTCAGTCAGAGTCACTCTGTTTTCACTACGTCCTTGTGGTGACGCATGATATGCTGGTTCTTCTCCGAGGGCCGTCGAAAGCCTTTGGAACAGATCTCGCAGCGGTGTGGATAGTCCTTTGTGTGAATGGAGATCACGTGCCGCTTAAACCCCGAAGCGTCCCCGGTGCTGTAGTCGCAGTACTGGCACTGGTAAATTCTTTTCTCTTTCTGTCCTTTACCAATAACAACAGTCACACTGCTGGCTAAGCTGGCCGCACTGACCCTGGCTGGTGGGCCGGACCCACCCGAGCCACTCGGTGCAGACTTTTTAGGGGCTGCAACGGGAGTGTGGGTCTCTGTCCTTTTTGCCTCACTCTTTTCAGGTGAGGCCTGCTGCTCTTTTGTGTGGACAGACAAAATGTGGCGGCTGAGGATGAAGGGGTCTGCGATTTTGAAGTTGCAGTGCCGGCACTGGTGGAGTTTCTTAGTGCGATGAGACACAGAGTGCTTCTTGAGCTCAGATGGCCGGTGAAAGCCCTTTCCACACACCGCACATTTGTGTGGATAGTCCTTGGTGTGAACAGATATAATATGGCGTTTCAGGTCACTGGAGTTAGAGCTTTTATGATCACAATGGGCACAATGGTGGGTTTTATTCTCCTCGTGAGTCAATCCGTGTTGCATCAGCTCCTCCTCCTCTGCGAAGGTCTGGAAACAGCGTTCGCACTTGTACGGCATCTCTTTGCTATGCTTAGTCTTGATGTGTGTTTTGAGATTGGAGGAATCGGCCGACTTGTAGTCGCAGTACATACAGGAATAAGGCTTCTCGCCGGTGTGCGTGCGCATGTGTTTCTTCAACTCAGACGGGTGACGAAAGCCTTTCCCACATTCCACACAGATGTGAGGAAAGCTTTTGCTGTGGACGGCCAGCAAGTGTCGATTGAGCAGTCCCTGCTCAGCGGTTTCATAGTCACAAAACTTGCACTTGTGCATCTTAGTGGGTGGAGGAGGTGGCTGGGCTTTGGGCTCCCGGTGGTGGTGCTGCAGCCTGTGGGAGAACAGCGCCCCTTGCTGGTGGAACTCTTTACCGCACATCTCACACTCGAAAGGGGCTTTGCTGCTCAGTGCGTGCACCTCCATGTGATTGTGAAGGCTGGCTTTCTTGTTGGTGGTGAAGTCACAGTCTGTACATTGGTACTTTTTGCGGGTCAGAACATCCTGGTGGTGATTCTTAGTGTGTCGCTTTAAGAAACCTCTCGACTTGAACTTTTTACCACAGAGCATACAAGGATAAACTGTCAGCGGCTGGCCGTATGGACCAATGATAATGGCTGGAAAAATAAAAACAGACAAATGACAGTTTGAGACAAATACTTGTTTGAGAAGAGTCACTTTTTAATTTCACTTCATAAAACAGTCTTTTTATAAAAGTATTCATACTCCTTTCACATTTTCCATATTATTACAACCGTATTCTTTATGGTATTTTGAGTTTCCAATCAAACTTATCTGGTATGCTCCCTGTTCCTCATGACTCTGTTTGCTCATTAATATTCTCCAACAAACCGTTTCGCAGAGCAGCTCCATGTATACTGAAGTTCAACTGAACGTGGCAGGAAGATTTACTAATTAAGTGACTTTTAAAAGACAGTGGTACCTTTCTTCCTCCACTCCACAGTAATGCTCTATTTTGTGTTGGTCTATGATACAACACCAAATAAATTACTCTGAGGTTTGTGTTTATATTGTCAGTGAATGTGAAAAGTTCAAGGGATATGAATACCTTTGCAGGGCAATGCATGCATTTTCCAGATACATATTTGAATAAACTGTTTATTTTCAAAGTCTAATAAATGACTAAAGAAAATTAATTGCATTTTACTAAGACGCTCCATCAATGTTAAAAATCAACTGTAGATTAATAAAATTATATCCCTAAAAGCTTTAAAAAAAAATAAATATATATATATATATATATATATATATATATATATATATATATATATATATATATATATATATATATTCTGTAAAATAGAATAAGTTCAAGACCTGAGTGATTAAAATAAAAAAATCTTTACTTAAAAATGTAGCCAGTTTTATCTTTTTCATGAGTGAAAAATTTGGTTTTGAGTCTGGATATGAAAATTAGCATTCAGTTTTTTCCTCCATACCTGTCTGGACCTGCCGATGTTCTGATCGTCTCTTATTCTTGTTGCGTTGCCTATTGATTTCATCGACACCATCTGATTCATCGATGTGCAGCAGTGCACTGGCAGCACCGTTCCGGTTTTCACAGCCCTCGCTGTCCTCTACACCTGCAGAGCCAACAAAACTTAATTTACTTAAAGCCAATCCTGCGAGACATGGATAACGTACAATATGCAGCTTTTGTTTTTAGCCAAACAATAGACAAGAGTAGTGTCCACAAAAACCATGCCCAATGGATCCATAAGACTCACCATGATTTCCTTGATTGTGATGAGAATCCCCGACAGACATGTAAACCATCTTCTCTCTGAGTGTTTGGCCTGTAGACTCTGTTAGTGCGACACTCTCTGCATCTCCATCACTGATGTCAACAGATTCTCCTGTAAAAAGGTATATTGTGTTTGCTAGTTTTGCTTCATGCAAATAGTTTTTTCATGTTTTTTGGTTCTAAATATTGCTCCAATAGAAATAAAAATAAGTTCCTACCCATGTCGTCCTCTCCTGAATCCGCCTTGAAGATGTACACTTTTATCACCTCTTGTCCATCTTCGTCCTTCTCCACTTCTTGGTCCTCTACGGCTCCTTCCACAGTTACCTCAGTTCCATCCTCAGAGACCATTTTTCCAGCTTCGTCCACTAGGTACATAAATACATAAAACATTAATGTAGTATAGATATTACATGTTACAACCCCAGGCAAAAAAACATCAAGAATTAAAATCGGACAACTTTTCACTGATACTATGTAATTGGAGGGTCAAATACTGAAACATGTATTTTCTTTGTGTTTCAGACATAAAAATGTTTTTCAGCCTTCAACAAAACACCATGGTCTTGTTTGGAGTTTAAAAGAAACAAAGAAAAGATTCGGGAAATATGCTTAAATGTGTAAATGGGATCAAGTTTGTAAATTCTTGATTTCCTTGTTAAATTAAAATCAAGTTCAAGGAACCTCAAATTGATTTTTATGGTCATTATTAAAGTTTAATTTATAAATAAATGAATAAATAAATAACTTAAGTGGAGATTGATCAAATCTCAAAACAAAAATCAAGATAAATAACTGAATCTCTAATAAATGCGAAGCAGAGCAGTAAACTTACAGGATATCATCAAATAATCTCCACAGCCATCTTGGTCGTCATCCTGCTGTTCTGGGTCCAGCCCATCTTCTGGGATGTCTCCCATGGCAACGCCTTCCTCTTCGCCTTCTAGAGCCATTACACAGGTTTCTACAGCAACATCTTCATCTTCATCTCCATGCACATATTCAGAAACTACGTCTTCGACTGCATCCTGGATGACGAGCTCTTCTGGGGCAAATCTGTGAACTGCCATGCCTTCACCCTCACCTTCTGATACCAACACAGTCTCTTGAAGCTCCACAACAAACTCCTGCCCACCGGCACCTCCGTCATCTGCAAGAAGATAATCATTTAACAGGATAACACCAAAGACCCCCCTTTTCTTATACAAGTTCTCAGGCAACAAGTCAAAATGGATATGTACATCCTCTAACTAGAAACAACACTCCTAAAACACTTTTAGTCATATATATATATATATATATATATATAATATATATATATATATATATATATATATATATATAAATAAACAAATAAACATGTTTAATTACCCGATCCGTGTATTATTATTTTAGGCTCTTCAGCATGTATTGCAAGCCTTGTGACATCCTCATCCATTGTCCTCGTGCTGCATTTGTTACTGAGGAGCTGAAAGCAGAACATGCAGTAGTTAAAAATGCAGCTGGAAAAATATGTGCAGAAGAACAATTCTTGTGAAAAAAAATAGGTAAACTAATAATTATTACACTGTAGTAGGAGTGCCTTAAGAAAATCTATATGCCCTAAAGTCTTTTTGCATCTCAGTGGCATTGTTAATGAGTCACCCAAATGATCAAAGTATAAGAGTAAAATCCATCACAAAATTAAAAGTTTTAATTATGTTAAGTTTAGAATTATGTATTGGATTGAATTGGAACAGGAAAACTGTTGTGCATGCATCGAAAGTCAACTGTACCCATTTGACAGATTTTAATGTGACTAGTGTGTCCACCTCTGTATCGAGTATTTTTTTCTCCATACACGACAGGAAAGAAAAACTTTAGTTATTTAACGAGGTAAAATGTAAAGCAGAATCTCCATCCTGCATCTGCATCATCCTCGTCAATAATTGGTTTGATTTATTTTGCAAACAATAAATATAAGGTTGTTGTTGATTGACATATTGACATCAACATAATACTGACAATCTAATATTTTATGAGACATTATCATTTTTTGTGCAATTCCTGCAGTAGATTCAGCCTAGGTGGGTTTTTTTTTCTTTCCACAGACCTGGAAACAGATTCCTAGTGTTTCCCAGTATACCATCTATCCTCTCTCCTTCCTCTATTCTGTTCTAATCTCTCCCATCTTTTTAAACTTTTTAACCCAGCTTGCTTCCCTTTTTTCTCTTTTTTCAAAGCTGTATTGATACACTGTAGGTCAGGACATGCTTTAAGAGATTTATTAATTCAATTTACAGAAATTAGATTATTGTTTACCACTGTTAAGGGTTTGACCAGAGCTCTTTTCACAAAAGTCCCCTGGAGCTCACATGATGAAGCAAGATTAGTAACTCATTAAAGTTGCCTTAGGTTCGGTGACAGTCAGCATTTGAATGCTAATGATTTTCAATGCTGACATTTTAAACATTCACAACAGATTAAATGTTTAGCATGATTGAAAACCACATTTGTTCAGGTGTAGCTGAGAAAAATTACTATTGATGAATGGCAGCAGGGCAACCCATGTCTGCATGTTTGTGGTCTGGACAACTATAGCAAAATTAGGCATCAAAGGCAGAGAGATCACTTAGAAATAAAACTAGTTATTGGACTGCAGCCTACAAATCCTGAGCATTCAATATAATGGCCTGCTTCTGATAAGTCCTTTGTGATTTTAATATGTCAAGCATTTACCATTCAAATATCATTATGTGTTTACACTGTAAAAAGCAACAAAAATAATATGTCACTGCTTTACTTAGTCTTTTTTAATAATAAAGAAAGAGTAATTAATACTTCAGCATTGTTTTCGTTCAGGATTAGTGCTAAAAAATTGTTGGCATGTAATAGGGCAATGTCCAAATAAAAATCACTTATCAAAAATACTATGACATACAGTATATTTTATAAAGGTTTCTGTATGGATTAGTAAATTGAAACACAGTGTATATGCATAACTTATAACACAATTAGAAGAGTGGGGTTAATAATACAGATACCACGTTTCAGTTGCAAAGGTAAGCTAGTAAATGAAACCATAATCTCCACTTTATTTCCTAAAGTAAATTTCACCAAGATGACACTCAAAGTCTTAAGTGTAATGTTTAACACTGGGAAGAAGATGAGAGCACATGGAATAGAAATCTCCTCAAAGAAGGAAGAAGCAGAGATGTAAACAAAAAACGGTGTAACTGAGGTGCCAATTTTTATTGAATGTACCATCCCCCACCTCTAGGTGGGCAAAAAAGGTGATAACGATGCGTGGAGAGCAGCACAACAGGGGATCACTCCGCTTTTAAGATGTCAACATTATGTATTAAAACTCACACGAATGGGTGGATTAACTTTGTTAGTTTCGTGCAAGAGTATAAACCAAACACAAAGCCATTTGAGATAAATAAAGGCAGCATGCCCAATGAACAATATTAAATGCAAAGTCCGACTGCCACAGAGAAAATTTATTTAAAAATAGCTGACAACGTCAACATACATGTGCAATGGCAGAACAAAAAAAAAAAAACCCCGAAGAAAATCGGGTTAAGCTCATTGTTCGCGGGCATATATCTCTGCAGAGGTTTGCAGCTAGCAAGAGAAGTGCTAAACACACCTTTTCTACAACCACTGTTCAACACACAAGCGTCCGCCATTTTGTTAGCCTTGTGTCTGAGGAATGCTAACTTGAATGTGAATAAAATTACTCACTAACGAAAAGGTTATGTTAAATATACTTAAATTTTAGTCAATTTTACTCCACGGTTGCAGAACTCTTTATCTATCAAAGACAAAAACAAAAAATGGCGAGTGCTGATACTGAACTTTCGGTGAGCTGGATGGCTAACTAGCTATCTGGCTAACAACATAGGCCTGCTTTACCGATCACGGCCTCAATTAGGCCCGGGCCCCGGGAAGAAGAGGCCCAGCCCTGAGCGGCCTCGCGGTTACATTAAATAATTTAATTAAAATATTAAATGCAAACAAATTCAAACAGCCACAAACGCACTAAGACGAAGACATCGCTCAGGCAAGAGGCGATCCGGGAGCAAAAGAAAGCCGCGTACCAGATTTATGCTGCAGGGATGGCCTCTGTCCGCTCCACGGCTTCCCAGGCCGCCTGGTTCCCCCAGACTCGGGCAGGATTCAGTCGGGAATTTTGTGTGATTTGGGCGGGCCGCGAACGAGCAGAGAAGGAGGGGTGAGAGGGTAGTTTCTGGAACACCGCTGAAAAACGAAGCAGGACGTCTGAAGCCAGACAGTGTCCTGCTACAGCCCCCCGCTTCTCCAGCTCCGAGGCCGCCGTCAGCACGACACGTCACAGCCCAAGAGCGGCAGGAAAATGCGGAAGAGTTGAGGTGGAAATCACCCGAAAGCTACCAAAAAGGCCATGATGTGAAGACCTGTCTGCTGAATTGTGACAAAGCTTTGCGTAGTGTTTCTTTAGTATGACACCAAAAGCGGCTGTAACTTCACTGAAACCATTCTACTTTCACCAAACATTAGTGGGGCAAACAAGGAACCGAATTTACGTTTCAGTTTTTTAAGACAAAAATATTTTTTAAAAGTACAGCTGACAGCTTTAAAAGAGGAGCACCTATCTCTCACAATGTCTCGCTGGAGCACTCACACAAGTAAAATAAAAAGAGCAAGTGGTTTTATTTGTATTTTTCTCCTCAAAATGTGAAAATATAGCATGTATCTGTTTACAGTTCCCTGAATGTTGTTTTGAACAAACTGTTGCTGCAAACATTTTTTGGTTTATGTGCTTACAAGCTTTATATGTCCAGAGGCAAAAGGCCTGCTTTTTGTTATTTTTCAAGTCTGACCACAAATATTTATTTAGGTTAAAGTTTAGGCTTTGACTTTTTTTGACTGGATCATTGTAATATAATATATATAAATATACGCTTTGAGCTGATGGTTCTTAAAACTTATTTTAAAAAGTACTACTTCAGTAGATACCAAGCTTTATTTGACCTACAATAATGAGAAGCACTGTATGGCAACATTTTATAGTTTTGACATGCCTCTCTTTCGCCAAGTCAATCTATTTAGGTATGTGATCTTTTTCATTTGCTTCAGTTTATTTAAGATTCATCTGTCTCTGCTACATCCTTTCCATTGATTTGTGTCACATGACAGACCAGTTGAGTCTTATATGGACCCATAATTAGACCCATAATCAAACCAGCACCTGAACAATCCCCTACTTCTGCCAGCCAACCAACCCATCAAACTGAACGATTTAGAAAAAAAAATATAGGATGGAGTAAAATGCAGCCTCTCTGAAAGCAAAATATATATGTATTCTTAGTTTTCTAACCAGCAAGCCGGGGGCACCATCTTTGCATTGACTGCAAATAAATTAAAGCATTAGAAAACTTGATCATCTAACAAATAAGCTCATTTTTTAATCCTTGTGTTATGTGCTGTTCTGAGTAACTACCCATTAAGTTACTCAGTTAAAGAAAGAAAATTTCTTTAATTCACAAGTTGTCAAAGTAGGTTCAAAATGTCTCCCTGGTGAGTCGAAGCTGACATGTGTTCAGTACAAAATGTCTTGTGGTATATTACTTTTTTTTTCCCCAATGAGTTTTTTATGAAATGGACAAAGGTGCAAACGTATAATACAGTGAAGGCACAAAGTGACTAGCACTTGATTTACAGACGTGCACTTTGCTTTGTTAAATGTTAATTTGATTCAAGATTTCTGAAGATTAATGGCAATGCTGAATTAAAATAAAGCAGAAGTCATCAGCCAAGTAAATAAAGTATCTGGTTTAAAAAAAATGGTTCTCCATATGGTTGAAAATGTGACATTTTTATTATTTAAAATCTGTTTTATGAACAAACTCTGCTGTGTTGGGGGTGGTTGTTTCTCTCTCCTAAGGTATATTTAATTTACACATATTTCTAACAATTATGAATTTAGATTTTCATATTTTATTCATTACCATTTTCATAACATCACATTTACTATTACATTGTACAATAGAACTCATTTCTAATTAATGAAACCAAAAATCTCCATTACAGATTTAATTTACAAAATAACTGTAAACATTGCAGATTACAATAACATACATTTTCATTGTTGCATACCAATACTGTTAATTTTAATGTATAGGTTACTTCCTACCCACTTATTTTGTTCATAAATCACAATAATATAACTTCTACACAAGAATATCACTTCAAAGACAGAGTAATTTGCCTTCATAAAGCCTTAAAAAACGTTTTATACTAGTAAGCAGTTTGTTAATAAGTACTAATCTGCTTAATTTACATGTGAATGAGGTAAATGTTGCAAAATTAGGTAAGAATAAAAGGTACAGAAATATTACAAGTGTCCCAGAAACATTGTTATTGCCATTCCCAAAATTCTTTATAAGTGATCAGTATGTTTTATTTTGCTGTCATCTTCACCAGGTCCTTCTTTTGGATCTCAAAAAGACGCCAGCCCTCCTCCGAGGACAGGTCAGCGGCGCCCCGTCTCTTGTAGAACTCAATAGACTGCTTGTTGTTTTCTGCTACAATGAAATGCATACTGCTACAACGGGTCTTTACAGCAATCTGAAGGAAAGACATTTCAGAAAAATGGACATAAAAAAACAAGCACATGAGTAGCACCTGAAATCAAAGTAAATGTGTGAGAAGATAAGTTGCAATTACACATAAAGTGTCTGTACCTCACTCAGCACCTTCAGGATTTGTGAACCAATGCCAAAGCCTGGTGAAACATTAAACAGGCAGAGCAATTACAACAGTTTTTGCCAATGTTGCAACACAGCTGTTAATTATTACATTTTGTGCCACAGCTGAACGATTCAGCAATCTTACCTCGAAACTCCTGCATGACGTAGAAATCTTCCAAATAGAGAAGCTTTCCAATCCATGGGTCATATGTGAAGTAGTACATTGCAAAGCCAATCACAGAAAATCCTTGATAAAAGACACTAGAAGTTAAATGCTTTATTTATAAAATGCCTTAAAATATGAGGTAAGATTTTTATTTTATTTTTACCTTCTGTGCTCTGATCTTTTGGGACTTCTGCAACCAAGCAATGGTAGAATGGCTGATCCCCAAAGCCATCCTCAAGAAGATCTAAGTTAAAGTAGGACATTAATGTTAATGGACTCCATAGCAAAAATTGCTTTGCTTATTTACAAATAGAGGTTACTGCTTGCTTGGATAATAGACTTTGGCATAAATAATTTAATGCACAGCACCTTTCTCAGTGAGCAGCACCTTCTCCTCCATCTCTTCAAACTTAGCAAGTTCCTACAATGCATAAAGATTTGAACTGAATTTAAATTTGAACGAGAAAGAACTTGTTGAAAAAGCGGATAAAGTGCCTTACCTTTATGAGTCGCAAGATATCAGATACATCCTTTGGTTCAGCTGGCCGTAACACAAAATTGGACATTTTCTTTTTTTTCCTTTTTTCCCTTTGCTTACCAGTCCTCGAAATGTGAACAAGAGCAAAATTTGTTTCTTCATTCGCTCCTCAGGAGTCCCCCCCCCGCAAAGAATTAGAGAAACTAGCGCATACAGTTCTGCATCAGCCGCTCAAAGTTGTGTGGTGGTGGCAGAAGCCTTCCCTTTATGTATCCTGCAAAAAGACACGCCTGATTGTAAATCCTCATATTGACGCATATCCTGTTTCTTTTCAGTACGAGTCGCTTATCTCTGTTCATCTGTTTTTCAGTTGAGTACTGATCAAAAGAGAAATATTAACCAGCCCTAACAACACATAAATGTTATAGTGAGCACAGACACACCACCAAACCACAAATCAGAATGAATATTTTTGCAAATATTTGTCTCTTACAATACTCAATGTGAGACTTTTCTCCAGGGTGTAATTGGAATATGAACAATTTCCTCTTAGGAAAGTTGGCCAGTAGAGCAAGTCTCTTTTATTGCTTGCAGGCAGTGCAAGGTGCACTTCTTTTGTTCATAATCTATTCTACATTGTAAACAGTTGTTTGGGTCCGAGCCGACATCAGGTATTCTCCACCTGCCTGAGGGAATGTTCCCACATATTGATACTGTAGCTGTTTCATTGCAGGTTTTCCAGTTTTCTGTTTTATGGTATTGTCTAACTTACCATTATTCCTGGTGCAAAATGTCAGTTTGGGCAAAGGTCTTCTTCACATGACTTCAAATTATGAAGGTCTTCAAAATGTGCTGAGTCTAAAGCTACACAGTATGCCATAAGAATACGTAAAAATATTTAAAATCTCAAAACTATACAGACATACATATATATATGATAAATTTAACTTAGTAGGCATGTCGCTGTTGCTGGGAAATTTCATTTTGACCAGATTCATTGTCCGGGAAGAATTGTTTGACGGTTACCTTGGCGATGACCCTATTAGCGGTGATAAATTCAAATGAGAAATTTTCCTCTTAAAAAGGAGGGGAAAAAAATCTATCCTAACCCAGAAAACTTGTCTGATCACTCACTTTAATACTTGATTAGTTGCTGAAAACAAAGGAGTGATGATAAAATATTAACTATCAATTGTCACCTGTTGGCTTATAAATACACAACCTGGAATTCATCATAATCTGTATGTGCCCCAATATAATTCTATTTTTAGGGCATTTTCTGTTTTAGTACTAAACAAGAGGTGTTCAGATTAATCATATGCCAGTATAGCACACCAATTCCTTCACTAATGACGATCATCCAGACAACAACAGGTACCCTAGTTTAGGGGAAAACATAAATGTAATCATAAAATCAAATAATGACACGAGTCACCAAAAATTAGGAAAAAAAAAAAGATTTTATTTGAACTTGGTTGGAATTAAAAGGTTTGGAATGGAAAGCAGAAAAGTTGTTCAGTTCAGTTTGTCAAAATATTTCAGCTTGCCTGAGGGGTCAGGAATGATCTGTGGAGAAAAATATAATGTAACTAATGATTTTCTTTCAAATACACCAAGCATCTTTGATCATCAGTTTATGCCAAGAAAAAAAAATGTTTGAATGTCAGAAACATTCTGTAAACTGATCCAAATCAGATTTTTTTGAGTTGCATTTTGTTTAGCAAGACAACTCAGGACAAAGTCCCAGTAATACTTACAGTGTCGCTGCCTGGCTTCCATCCTGCTGGACACACTGTAGGGAAAAAAATAAAATAAATAAAAATGCTAAACAAACCCGGTGTCTGTTCAAAAACAGATCTCATTATAGCCAAAAAATAAATAACTTTTTCCAAAAGTGAATGAAAAGCACTTTCAGTACCTTCTCCATGTTTGTCTGTGTACTGGAAGGCCTGGACCAGCCGCAGAGTCTCATCCACTGATCTTCCAACAGGAAGATCATTCATGGTGATCTGCCTCAGGATTCCTTTGCCGTCGATGATAAAAAGACCTCTGACAAAGACATGGACATGTTAGATGAGGGTTCCCATGTCAAATACCCACTTTTTCCTCCCTACAAAGTAGGATTTGACTCGAGTCTCAAAAATCTAGTCCCTACATCAAAAAAAAAAAAAGGTTTTGCAGCATAAAAAAAAAAATATTCCTTGTACCATATGTTATGGCAATTATTGCAATAATTATGACAAATTCTAAAAAGTATTTAAAAGTCAAATAAATCATTTCAGAAATAATAGCAAAGGTCTGATTTGGAGAAGATCTCCAGAATAAATAAATAAATAATAATAAAAAAACAACACAAAACATCAATTTCACATCCTGTTCCAATTTTTTCTTTCGATTGGTCCTTTTCACTTCTCCAGCATTATTTGAACCAAGGTGTTGATTTAAAATTTGCACCTCAGCGTGTGACCCTGGTCCTCCAAGTAGACTCCATAATCTTTTGAAATCTGGTGTGTGAGGTCAGACAGCAGAGGGATTTTCATTGGTCCGAGTCCACCTTGCTTCCTGGGGGTGTTGATCCTGTTCAGAACAGAAAAAGTGAGCCAAACACTTTAGACAAATCATTACTAAAGTTACGGAAGAGCTAGAGAAATCAATATGTAATCAGGCCATTTATTGAGCGTGGTTTGCACTTTATAAATCTACTGGAAGTGGTTTCCATACCAAGCTAAATGGGTGAACTGGGAATCCACAGAGCAGGCGACCACCTCAGTATTGATGGCCTGAAATTCATGCACGCGATCGCTGAAAGCAATGATCTCAGTGGGGCAGACGAATGTGCTGCAGTAGAAAAAACATGATGACATATGGAGTTTACACTCCAGGAAAGACAATGTGATTTTACAATGAAGTATTCAAGACATACGTACAAGTCCAAAGGATAAAAAAAGAAAACAAGATATTTTCCCTTGTAGTCGGACAGCTTAAGCTCCTTGAATTCCCCATCAATGACAGCAGTTCCTTCCCAGTTGGGGGCAGGCTTTGAAACTGAAGTAGAAAAAAAAAATGCACACAAAAAGTTTCTTTGAAATGTTCTCCACTTGCATATTTCCATCTTCGTAAACAACTTCATTTTATTTTTTAACACTAGACCACTACATTGGATTTGAACAATCAGTTTATTTTACTGGGCTTGATGCAATTACATATTCTTAAGAATTAGCCGTGTTTACTTCCAGAGACATCAGATTTCAGATGTCCTACATTTCTTTCATCATATCAATTTCCATGCTTTCCTCAAATTTTCCCAGTCTAGACCATTATGGATTGACAGATGATGGCAAACACACGGATGGAAAACACAGATGAACAGATGTGTGGATATAATTTATTCTTTTTCAAAGTGAGAGAGGGAATAGAGAATGATTAACAATAACCAATTAACTTTTTTCCATGCTTACTCTGACCTTGAAAGTACTTCAAGTTCCACGCTTTTCTAAACATGATCATTTCCACAGTAGTGGGATAAAAAATTATGGACTGACTCTAAGAACCAAAGACTGCCAAATTGAGTACTTGTCTAAAAAAATCTACCCATGTGCGTCAGTCAAGGGTGTGAATTATAACCTGTCAAAATGACCAACGGGCTTCAAATTTTCCCTTCATTTAAAAAAATTAAGGGAAACGCAACCTCTGGTGATACAAGACATCTAAACATAATTTGAGCCCCGGTTTTAAGAACATATTTTCTTCGTTCATAGAAATTTTGAACAGCATCTGATATGGATATGGTTGTGGCACAGTAGTTTGTCTTATTTTATATTACATACTCTCCATTCAAGTCATTTTTGCAAGTTTTTTTTCCCCTTTATGTTTTTCTGCTGCCTTCACTTTTGGTGAACATACTCTGTCTACCAATCAGACTGCCAGGACAGGTTTCCCATGTTTGACATCGGTCTCAAATTACTCACATTCAAAATGAGCAGCACATTAACTGCTAAAGCAAGAATAGAGGACACGGCTTGCATTAGGGTAAGTCAGAGAAGCAAAGCAAACGAAGGATCGTAATCAGAAACAACTAGAACATACGCACTATGTTGTAAGACTTTATGGATATGTGGATGGTGTGCTGCTATTCTGGGTCATGTGTCAGGGGCGGAGAGAGGCGAGCTGTCCAATCAATGTGACGCACTGACGTGTCCCACAACATTGAATCAAACGCATGAAAATAAAATTACCTTTCTGGTGTGAAATGTAAATAGAGTTTAAAACCCAACGAGGAAACAAAGGGACTTAAAGCAACACAATTAAACGCTCATCCGCAGGCTGCGTCAGTGCGCATCTGTTACCTTCTCACAGGCACCGCAGCGGCTTCCCAAAAGGAACGCAACTAAAAACGCGCACTTTCAGCGTGCAAAACACCGGTTCAACTCACTCTTGGCTTTACTGAGATGCAGGGAATGGTCGGACACGGGCACACGGAAAGCCTCTCCAGGATAGACGTGTCCTCCAGCGTAGTTGTGACACTGGGAGTTCTTCAGGTGAGCGCCTTCCTCTGCAGAGGCGATTGTACTGACAAGGAGCAAGGCAGCGCAAAAGGCGCACAGCAGCTCCATCTTTGCACCAGTGCTGAAACCAGACTCCATTGTGTCGTCTCCCCGTATGCACGTAGTTTCAGACTTTCAGCAGGGATGAAGCCTTCTTCCTTATCTTCTTCTTCGTCATTTGGAAGTTTCCTGCAGCTGGCGTCCTCCTTGCTGCGTTACCGCCATCTTCTGGAGCTAATTAAGCTTTCATATTAATTGTTAGTGAAAATACATAAAACCACCAGATACATATCCTTGTAGAAGAATTTATTTGGTGTGTGCTGAAAGAAGCAGTTTTCAACATTTTTGCAACCTTTATACCCCTAAATAAAACTTTCGGCAGAAAAACATTCTTAATTCAACCAATGAAATGCTTTACAATCTTTAAAACCATAGAAGCACAAACTGAAGCGGCCAAACATCACTGGTCACACCACAGTAATGTTTGGAATGAAGCCCTTCATGGAAAGTGTAAAAGTGCTCATTTTAACTCTGGAGGAGCAACACAGATATATAGCTCATGTGGATTATTCTGTTAACAAGACGTTAGTCATGCACTTCACAAATCTAAGACCTTTGCAGAAAGATAGCTGATAAAACTTAAGATTGCACTTCATATGAGCTATGTAGCAAATGAGATTAAAGGTAATTTTTAAATACAAATTGTACACAAAC